CACTATTGAAATGGCCTTCATTGTGAAAAAATATTAATTTTTATAGGTTTTGTGGAAAAAGTTTAACATCACTCATTACCACTCGTTACGAACATACCACTTACACCACCGTTGTTTTTAGCCTAAAATTTAAAAATTATTAGATAGAATGGAAGAGTTTATTTTATTTATACAAATTTGTTATATTTATGGGGAAAAAATCAAGACCAAACATACTGACTCGCTATGACATAACACCTAACAATGACCAAGTGTAACCAATGGAAGGGACTGCAGTATAGTGGCTCAAGTAATAAATATCGAATTCAACCCTCGACTAAAGCAATCGATCCACTACTATCAATCTATGGTTCTCTATTGACCTAATCAGGTATTCGCTCTCATAGGATCAAAGCAGAATCAATAATCTCGACTAAAGCAGAATTGAATCATGAAAACATGCATAGATTGAATATGAACTCAAGATTATCAAGTCAGAGTACTCATACAATCATCCAATCAAACAAACATAGCTAGGGTTCCTCAAAACCTAAGTGAAGGGAAGTTACTCCATAGAGAAGAGAGAGACTGCAGAAATCTGATCTAGATCTTCAATCTCCATCTCCAAGCTTGATTCCCGAGCTCCAATGGCAAAGAAATCCTCCAAAATAGCTCCAAGAATGTTCCCAAGTCGCTCTCTCTAGGGTTCGTCCCTTGGGTGTTTGGGATCCAAAACCCAGCTCCCCCTTTCCTTTGGCTTCAATCTGCCTCAAAAACCCGATTCTGGGCAAAACACGGTCGAGGACACGGCCGAGTTTTACTTTTGCTCGCCCGTGTTTTGCCCCCAGCAGCCCTCGTCGGCCAAAATACGGTCGTGCCTAAATATGGACACGGCCGTGTTTTTCTTTAGGCCAACCCGTGTTTTTACTGCCGAACATGTTCCCCTATATTCAATGCTTCGTTTCTCCCTCGTTCGGACTCCAAATCAGTCGTCGTTTGATCCCAGACGCTTGTAGTCTCGTCCTCTTTCTTTTCATGACAAGCTTGCATGATTATTTGTCCATAAAGTGAGGTAGAAATCCATTCTTCTTCAGGTTATGCCCGAGTTTCTTCTCCCGAATTGCCAATTGATCTCTGATTGACTTGAAACTTGCGCCTATGCTTCACTTTATGTGCTAGGACCTGAAATGTAACAAAGGAACACAACCTAGCGTAAAATAGGCCAAAGAAGAGATAATGCAAGCTTAAACGATCAAGAAACAAAGGGGAAAACATGTGCAAATATCGAGTCATCAAATCCCCCCACACTTAACCGTTTGCTTGTCCCCAAACAAACCTAACTCAAACCAATGCAGCTCTCCAGACCTCTATAGCAACATACAACCCCGATCGTCGGTAGAGGATTTCCTAGATCATATAGCAGCTTACGAGGTCTACTGGTCTTCTAAGACGTTCCCTATCTCTCTCAATGCGAGTACTAGAGCCAATCCAGGATCATGAGAAGAAGTAGAAGTAAGACAGTCAGTTCATGGATAAAGGGACTCACACCATTCACAACCAAGGACTCGTTGTACCGGGGTGCTCTTTCACTTCATTTCACCGTTGGAACCCCTTTTTCACTTTCCTTTCACTTTTTTTTTCTTTATCGTTCACTTAGCGGGGGTTCCAACTGCAGTCTTTTGCACGGTCGACCATTATTAGTCGAGCAAGAGCAATTTCTGTACTTCTGGCGCTCGCCAGAGTACTTCTTTTAACTCCTTTTCCTCAACTCGTGTGGAGGGTCAATGAAATTAAGGGGGGTCGGAAGCTCTATCCGTGCCCTTAAAAACACATCCTCAAGTAGGCAAACCGTTCAACGGGTGGAAGTTTTACTTGTACTAGAGACAGCTTAGCTTCACCTTGTAGGAGTACCCCACTAAGGATCACTAAAATCTCTTCCAAAACCCGATTTTGTGCAATGAACGGTGCCACACACGTTGGGATTACCCCATGTTTAAGATTTAATGATTTCGACAAGGAGTACCAACTGCTTTTCATTTTTCACATGAGCACCCTGTTCGATACACGAGTCCATAACACAATCCAAACAGAGTCACCATTACCACATGAATTCAACGGTCTTAGCTCCACTAATTCACAAAATCAACTGGCACAACAGAGAGCTAGATAGGAAAAATCTTATACTTCAACATCCTCCATAGTGCTACACTACCTCCCTAGGTTGCACATTACTATAGAGACTGTCAATTCAAAGCATACTGAGCAGGCAATTTGCAAGGAAACACATACTTGGAGACCTCAAATTTAAAAATTTGGACAGTGGACTAGGCTCCAAGCACACAAACAGCCAAACATTCACCCGCATACATAATCGAACCCCCCCCCTCACCTAAGCACGGCATTGTCCTCAATGGAGGAAAGATAAGGAGGGTATAAGTTACCAGATCAAGGGTGAATGACGGTGGACGAGGCAGGCGGTGCATTCCAGGATGAGAGAGTAGTCGGAGCACAAACACCACACAAAATATCACAAAGGTTGAGTTATTGACTCTAAAATCAAATAACAAAACTGACTCAACCGAGGAGAAAAAGAGAAAGAAATGCAAACTGACTGGTTGGGTTACCTCCCAACAAACGCTTCTTACACGTCGTGAGCCGGACGGTAGCTCCTAAGTTTCGGTCCACCCCAAAACCTCCTTGAAGTTGAGGTTCTCGTCAATGAGGTGGAGTCTCAAGTCACGAGCATGTGGTATTACAAGTGATGGAAGCTCGTGCACTTGATGCAGATAACCTCTCCACCCTCGAGACCTCTTCTTCTCTTCTCTCGTCTCATTGCCCCAAACCAAATATGACAACATCGATTGACCACCATCGCGTCCACCAAGAGGGACCGATGTCGACGTGGCCGTGGTCTGGCAAAGAGACACTGCAAATGGGTTCTTGCTAAGCAGTTCCTCGAAGTTTAGTGGGGATATTACTTGCAACGCATCGCCGGTGCATGCCTCTTCCACCTCAACTTCGTCCTCGGCCTGGACGCCAATTGCTTCTTCAACCTCCCTTCCTTGTTCATGTGGTATCACCCTTGGGAAATGATCAAGAACTCCTCCTGCTTCACTTTCGTCATCCTCCACAACTTCTTTCCGCACCCTTTCTTGCTCTTCTTCTTCTAGCACGGATTGGAGAGCAAGTTGCCAAGCAATTTCTTTCATGAGATTTTCTTGCATCTCCTCACTCATGACCGCCTCTTCAAAGCTCAGTATGGGATGTGGGAAGGTGTGGTCGGCTACGACAGGACATTCCTGATCATGATCATCACGGGAGCTCTCCGTGACAATTTAGTGTGCTCCACAATGTCCCTGTAGCCTTCTTCTTCCTCCTCCTCTTAGATCATCGACGCTCTTCTTAAGGCTCAGGAGGATCTCCTCTGTTTCACGAAAGGCCTGGGTACAAAGATCCATCCTAGCCCATGATCTCTCACTGCCTCGAGCAAACTGCTCCATGAGAAGTATCAACTCATAATTTGGATCTGATTGTGGAGTGTAGCATGGCTCTATAGAATTGCCCGTGAAGGCCGTCAGGGGTAACTCCAGCTCCGATGGCCCTTTTGGTTGTGGGAGAAATTCTTCTTGATAATGATGTTGTTCTTGATATGCCCAGGGGTTTGATTGTTCTACGTAGTAAGGGGGTTGGTACTGAAACCCGAATCCATAGTCTTCTCCTCCTTGATTGCTGCAGGGAGTCTCGGGGTAATACCACCCGGATGGTGGTGGATACCCCCAATGGTTGAGAAGCCATGAGGATCCATGATTCAGATCTGCACCAACAAAAACGAAAACACCCAAGTGAAAAGCAATGGTGGAAAAGAAAAACGCTAAAGTAACAAACTTCTGCCTTTCCTAATAATCTAGAAAGTCCCCGGCAACGGCGCCAAAAACTTGACTCGCTATGACACAACATCTAACAATGGCCAAGTGTAACCAATGGAAGGGACTGCAATATAGTGGCTCAACTAATAAATATCGAATCCACGGGTCTCTAGAGTTACTATTACTCAGCTTCAGTTTATTATTTAGCAGACCAGATTAAGATGAAAGAACTAAAACTACTCCAGTAAACTACAGTTAAAGTTAATCTAATTACAGGTTGGGAACTCACTTAGGTATGATTCTCCCTAGCCACTAGCCAGATTAACAATTGATGATTTCTAACCTGTTTCACTTTCATTCACAATGCGGAGAATCCTTGACTAGACCTCGATACTCGACTAAAGGAACAAGGTCCTCTCGATACTCGACTAAAGGAACAAGGTCCTCTTAAGTCAATTGCCTAGAGGGACGTATCCTTCTCTAGAACAACTGATCAAGGCGTTCTGAACTAGACTCACTCAATCGAAAGAGGTTCTCAATCGATACAAAGCAGTGAATCAACCCTCGACTAAAGCAATCGATCCACTACTATCAATTTATGGTGCTCTAATGACCTAATCAGATATTCGCTCTCATAGAATCAAAGCAGAATCAATAATCTCGACTAAAGCATAATTGAATCATGAAAACATGCATAGATTGAATATGAACTCAAGATTATCAAGTCAGAGTACTCATACAATCATCCAATCAAACAAACATAGCTAGGGTTCCTCAAAACCTAAGTGAAGGGAAGTTACTCCATAGAGAAGAGAGAGACTGCAGAAATATGATCTAGATCTTCAATCTCCATCTCCAAGCTTGATTCCCGAGCTCCAATGGCGAAGAAATCCTCCAAGAATGTTCCCAAGTCGCTCTCTCTCTCTAAGGTTCGTCCCTTGGGTGTTTGGGATTCAAAACCCAGCTCCCCCTTTCCTTTGGCTTCAATCTGCCTCAAAAACCCGATTCTGGGCAAAACACGGTCGAGGACACGACCGTGTTTTACTTTTGCCCGCCCGTGTTTTTACCCCAGCAGCCCTCGTCGGCCAAAGCACGGTCGTGCCTAAATATGGACACGGCCGTGTTTTTCTTTAGGCCAACCCGTGTTTTTACTGCCGAACATGTTCCCCTATATTCAATGCTTCGTTTCTCCCTCGTCCGGACTCCGAATCAGTTGCCGTTTGATCCCAGACGCTCGTAGTCTCGTCCTCCTTCTTTTCATGACAAGCTTTCATGATTATTTGTCCATTAAGTGAGGTAGAAATCCATTCTTCTTCAGGTCATGCCCGAGTTTCTTCTCCCGAATCGCCAATTGATCTCTGATTGACTTGAAACTTGCGCCTATGCTTCACTTTATGTGCTAGGACCTGAAATGTAACAAAGGAACACAACCTAGCGTAAAATAGGCCAAAGAAGCGATAATGCAAGCTTAAACGATCAAGAAACAAAGGGGAAAACATGTGCAAATATCGAGTCATCATATACTATCCTAATATAGTTTGGTAAATTGTTGTAGGTGGTGGTGAAAGGTGGTAGCTTCTCCACCGTCTTCAATCTTCATATTAAGCGCTTCACTAACCAATAGCTAATAGCTTATGATGCGGATTCATGTTCTCGCTGAAAGATACTTGAAACTTTTAAAAGTTCACCAATTGGTGAGAGTCCTCCTCGTATTCTTTAAAAATGTCCTTAGTGCAAAATAGCCCTACTAAAGAAAATAATATCATCGGTGAAATAATGTGGGAGATAATGAGAGTTCCCGGAGCTAGTACCAGGCCATGGAGGCAATTAGCGTGCATCGATGACTTCGTAAATGTCGAGAGATCCTCCACACAAATAAGGAATAGAAGCAGTGACAAAGGATCCCCTTTTCGTATGCCACAACTCTGAATAAATCTCGTGGATTGGTGGTCATTCACTAGGACTAAGTAGGAAACTGTGCGAGCACACATCATGATCGGTTGAACCCGCCTCCCCACAAATCCCTTCCGACCCATTATAGCTTCCATAAAATGTCATTCTACTCGATCATTAGTCTTATCCATATCAATCTTAAAAGCAAGTAAACCAGTTCCTCCCTTATTATTCTTCTTCTTCAACTTAAAAAAACATTTAAAGGATACCATGATGTTATATGTAATAAATCTACCTGAGAAAAAAACATTCACATAAGTCATCACCGTCCTCTTTAAAAATCGTGGTCTTTTGTTAGCAAGGAATGAATCGTCGTCATTGTCGTTTGTTTTTGGTGGAATGGAGGTTGAGAGGTTGATAGACAGATGGGAACAATGAACAAAAGAAAAGGGTCATAGGGGTTATCTTGGATTAACAATAAAAAAAAATAACAAGACAAAGTTATTTCCACATAGTTGGAGGGGCCGCTATTTCGAAATCCAATCAAGCCCTTACTAAAAGACACCGTTTGATATTTACCAAAAAAAAAAAAAAAAAAAGACTACCGTTTGATCTCATCAAACTAGAGTGAATATGTGAGCGAATCACGATTAGCGTAACTATGACAATGAAGAACCCGACATGACAATCTTGTATCAATCATAGCAGTCGGTGGTTTGGCTACATAAACCGTGTAATGTAATGAAATTAATGCTCCTCCCGGACCCGCATTATCAGTCTTTCGAGCCTTGAGACGCAAGTATGTAACTATCCAGTATGTTTTATTGCTTAGTGCCGCCGACGCCATCAGAAAACATCAATTACGCGTCCGATAATCTATAGATTTAATTTAACATGTAATTTACATGCCTGTTTATCTTACAATCTACGGCACTTCAAAAAGTTCGTCAAATCTCACGGCCACTCTGAAAATTCTGCTTCGACCGTGCAAAGGCCGACCCGACAAGGGAAAAACAAATCGATCTAGTACTGTGTGTTCCAGAATAATCAAAACCCTGACGCTTCCTAGCATGACTACAGTGGAAGGTCATTCATTCATGCATTCAAGTCTCCATTTTGAGAAGGTGGAAAAAACTAAAACAGAATGAGTCATACTGTGATCATCTGTGCGCGGCCAAGGAGTAGATCGCATGCAGGACCAGAAATTACTCAGCTCGCTCCTGGTTCGCCTAATAGCCCTTGTTTCCTCGAATCCTAGCTCTCATGTCAACCTGGGTGGACAACAATTTCAACACATTAGACAAAGTGTGCAATGTATGGAGAAGTTTCCACATCAATTGTGCTGTGATTGAGACTCATATGGTGGATATGAGTTGAGGTAAGTGGACTCAGATATTGATAATAATACCCCGCTTCTTTCAATCTTAAAGGATATCAACTCATATCTTGGATTCAATAATCCGAAGTGGTTCACAAGGGAAAATATCTCTTGGATTAGGAGACATGGCAAACGACAGATACTTATACATCACATCCCCATTTATACACCTCGGCGGAAGTAGGGATGGCAAATTACCCACCCATGGGTAATTATACCCAAACCCAAGTAGACCCATTGATAATGGGTTGGGTATGGGTGAAGTGCATATGGATTTGGGGGTTTATAGATGGGTTTGGGTTTGGGGATTCCATAATCTAAATGGGTATGGGTTGGATATGGATATCCATTTACTTGAGGGTGTTTTAACTACACATGCAAAAATTAGACCTATTTGCAAAACTTGAAAAGTTTAGGTACCAAAATGTAAGACCAAAAAAATTTAGGTGCCAAAACGTAATTTTCCATCGATATTTTGAGGACTTATATGCAAAAAAAAATTAAATTTAGGTACTAAATATACATGTCTATTAAGTTTGGGTACCAAACTGTAATTTGTATTTGGGCATGGGTAAAAACCCAAATCCATTTGATATAAACCCAACTCAACCCAAAGTAAATGGGTATGAGTACAAACCCATCAAGCTCTACCCATATCCATCTATTTGGATTTCATACCCAACCCAATTGGGTTGGATAGTAAGAAACCCATGGGTATGGGCAAAGTTGCCATCCCTAGGCGGAAGGCCAATTCTGGCATCGTTTTTATTACCTCCTTCCTCAATGCTTGAGGAATTTCATATCCTCTCAAATACATTACACATACTGTATGTACATTCACAACAGGTACAAGGCTCAAACAGAAAGAAAAGGGTTGCAAAGCCCGATTTCTTTTCACCCCGAAAAAACAATCAATTTCTTCAATTCATGAAAAAAAAACAACAACACAATCAATTCACTTTTTCAAATTTTGAATCGGTTCAATTAGTAAGAACAAGCGTTGCAGTTGCTTCACAAATACTACCTGTAAATAAGGATCACAAAACCAGATCCATACTACTCAAACAAGAAGGCATTCCTAAGAGGAACAGTACTACTACTACTAGAATACCATGATTCGAATCACAGTTCAAACTACCAACCTGACAGTAGATACAGCAAAAACATCATTAAACTAATTGATACGCTTAACTAAAAACCTCAGTAAAAGACCAGGATACAAGATCAATAGTACTTCAACAAGTAAGCAATTTTTAGTAAAACTAGAACAAACGTTTGCACCATTGAAACATATACCACAAAGCAGGTTCATTGGTCTTTTTCCCTGTCCCTCTTGCAGAAGTCATACTTCATCTCAAACTAGACGGATTATGTGTGGATGCAAATGACAGATATATATTACTTCCACTTCTAAGGATTGACCGGGTGTACATTGTTCAACTCATTAAGATAGCTATGAAATCATAGGCATGATTCAAGTCTCCAATTTTCTAAAAGCAACGAACAATACAGACAATAATTCCTCAACGGGGAAGCATGGCTGCTGCAGGAACAAACCCTAACAAACTCATAGGGACTAACCATCCACAGGTATACCTTCCTGGACCAATGAAGCAAGAGCTAAGACGGAAACCTACCTCAACCTACATAACACAGTTAGTAGTAGCTGTTGAATTAGTATAGTTTGCTCGGACCCAGCTCAGTATTTGGCCATAGCCACGCCATTTATATCGTTTTTCAGCAAGAAACTATACTAATAAGTAGTAATGACACTGAGATCCAGATTGAAATTGAAGATCGAGCTATGAGAAAGAGGATGATAGCAAAACATGCCTGGCCTCGCTTGCAGTTGAAATAGGTTTCCCGAAGTCCGACGCACTCACTGGAAACGGAGGGACTCTTCTCTCCGGCACAATCCCTGATGGAACGATTCTCAACTTTAACACAGTCTGATTCGCTTAGACACTTGACGAGCTCGGTAGCGAGGCCCTTGCAAGACTTCGCCATTCTTTCCTCTTCTTCTTCCTACTACTCCTGAAAACTATATCGAGAACAGAGTCATAAAATGAAAGAAGAGCAGAAGCGATACGAGGGAGGAGATGGAGGAAGAGAGGGATTCGGGTCGAGGGGCAATGCTTACCGATTGAAAATCTAAAACAGAGTGCCGGAATAACTTCGTCTCCGGTGGAGAATTACGAGGTAAGAGAACTAATCCGCCGATGGAAATGGCCTGACTACTCGGTTGTCGCTTTCACCTTTTTGGAACCGACGGTAAGCTCTGATTTTGGGCCTAGTTGAACTTCCCTTTAAACTGCAGCAGAGTTTTTCTATGGGCCCATAAGAACGCTCTGTTTTGGGTTATGCAACTTTTTTTTAAAGCTTTTTTAACATCACGAACTTTTTCCCGAGAAAGATATTGTCCATTTTGGACCTCATCTCTCACGGTTTTTGAATTTGGGTGCAATTCAGAGTGACTTTCTATAAGGTCACTCATCATTGTTGTACTCCAAACTAAGCACGTTTAACTTCGGAGTTCTCACAAGAACTTCTCCATTTCACCCCAAAACCAGTCTTGTCAGTTAATACCGGTTTCCTATTTATGAACCATATATCTCTCCCGTGCTTTGTCGATGTGGAATTTGGCTAAGGTGTTACACTTTTGCTTTCTAGTTTTTACTGAATTTGAGTGTACAACTGCTAGTTTTGAGTCCAGCCTATTCACTAGAAAGGGATTTTTAAAATAATTTAGTTTGTGTGTTATAATATTTAGTTGTTATGATTATGATAATATTAAATTAAATATTTGTATGGTTTAGTGACTCAGTAGAATAAGAAACGTGTTCCGTGAACTATGGTAGTACACGAGTTATTTGTGTATGATGCTATAGAATTGAACGATATTGATATAGTTTAGTAACTATCCAATAGGAGCGTGACATGCGAACAGTTAACTGTGCTCATGGTTTTGAATTTTGTTTTTCAACATATATAAAAATGGATATCATTGTGTAGGTCGCATAAAATTTAATTTTTTTTACCACAAATATCTAAATTCAGAGTTGAAATGAAATATATAATGATCAATTAAGAATGGTAGGGAAATTGAAAATGAAGAGAGTGTGTGTTAGGTGGCACATTCTACTTGGATTATTGAAAAACTAAAAGGAAAAATTGAATAAAAATTAACTACATGTCCATTTAGACAGTTAGATATCGAAGAAGAAAAAATTTAAAATGAAAAGAAAAAATAGTGAAGAAATAATCTGATTAATGAGAAGGGCGGTGGTCGATAAACTCGTGTAAACTTTATAATATTAATTTTTAATACTAACATGCGAGTCATCTATAATACATTCTCGATTTTAAATCATAATCGTCAAGTTGATTTTAAACTCAATTATAATCATGAAGTTAAAAAAAAAAAAAAAGCTTTGAGTTAGTGTACAAAACTCTTTAGTTTGTAGCGCTACAAAATCATAATGAATTATTGAGATTGAGAGGAAAATGATCTAATAGTCATAAGTCATCTTTGTAGAAAGGTAAGAAGGAAAAGTAGAAGTTTGGGGAGAAAGCTTATCGGATTTTTTGGGGCTGATGATTGGATTTTGAGGAGGCTAGCAAAGATTTGGATTTTATCTACAATTCAATTGAAGTTGTTAAACTTTAATTGATATGATCTCATTCTTTTTACATCAAATTTTTTAAAAAAATTGCCTAGAAAATAAGATTTTTAGTATTCTACTAGATCATATCTATTTTGATATTTTGAATCAAAATTATTTAGGTCATCTTACCACTGATATTATCATGGTGATAATGACAATGCCATGAGGGTGTTGTCAGTTTTGACAATAGTGGTAAGATCATGATATGACAGTGGTAAGATGATATTATAAAGTCTTACCATAGTTGGTATGACGTTGGTAATTGGTATGATAATGATAAGATAGTACGAAAACTTATCTTTGAGCAAGAAAATCGATGCTATCATACCAATGTCATATCGTGATAATACATTATGGTAATATCATACCACTTTCATATCATGATATTATCAAAGTGATAATATCATGATATGACAATGATATGATACTGTTGTCTGTCTTACCGTAATAGTAAGATTATGATATGATATTTATAAGAAACACATATTGCTCAGAACATAACAAAATAGATATCATTGTCTAGAATGAAAGAGATATGTCATCGTATCATTGTCATATCATATGATGATACGATAATGATAATAGTACAACCAACATACATTTTGAAGAATTATTTTTTCTTTGCTCAAAATATAGCAAAATGAACATTGCTGTGCAAATCATAATAATATTTTTTGAACAGTAGATCATAATTAGTGCATTCTTTTTATATAATTCTTTTTGGTTTATATAATTTTTTTTGGAATTCCAAATTAAAATGATTGAGATAAGACTCGATTAAAAAAAGGAATTAAAAAAAATTGTCTCTCACTTCTACCAGTCCGCTCCTAATCTAAATTGAGTATTGTAGTTTTACCATATCTTTTCCTTTATAAAAATAATCCCTAACATAAACTTAATAATTAACATGATGATAGTCCAAAATTACAACTAATACATACATTTTTAATGATAAAATTGTCAAAGAATTTGTGGAAGGGGCTCGCGGCAACCAAACTGCTGCAGGAGGCTATCAGAATCAAGATTGAGCCAGATCACTTGTGAAAGTAAAATTTAATTATGTTTGGGAGAAGCTTTGGATGATACTGGAGTCTGTAGGTAATCGAGATTAATAATTTAACAGTAGAAAATAGAGAAACAGTAAGAGTACTAATATCAATCTGGACAATGAACAACAAACGTTTATCCAATTCCATTAACTATGTCCAATAATGTTAGAATCTACCGTAACAATAACATGAATAATAATAATGGAAGCACTCACGATTGCCGAGCAAATAATTCACAAACGAGCAAATCGTCCATGGCTGCTGCCGAAGTGCTTACACCCAACACCGGAACAACATTGCACAAGAGCTCAGCCGTGTAGCCTGTCTCAGCCAGGACGTCTTTGAACATGAGAGACACAGCCTCTGGTTTCAAGCCGAGCCCGGTTGGTAAGTACACTCTCAAGCTCTGCACAAGAGGTCAATGGAAGTTTGCCAAGATTATCTACCATTATAAGAAAACTACGACAGGTAATAATGAACATGCTCAGCAGAGAGTACGATACTAACCATTATGTCTTGCCAGCAAAAATTATTCTCAGCAACGACTTCATCTAGCAGATAGATACAGAACTGCGTAACCCTCTTCAGATGAAAGTTCATCGGAGGAACTTGATGACGATCGTTTGTTTCAAGAGTCTTGGAAACTATCTTGGCCGCGATATTTGTTGTTATAGATAACAGAACTGCACATATCTTCCCACTTATGACACATTTCTGAATGCAAGTATTTTGCCAGTCTGCTCGCTCAAATCCCCAGCTCTTGGGGGCTATGCTGGAAGATAAGCTTTTTCCATCAGCGACCTCCTGGCTTTCTATGTCTTCTTCGGGGACAAAAAGGGTGGGCTTTACTTCTACAAATGATCTGCAACGGGGCAAAATGGTAACTGAGCAACGTTGAATAGGCCATTGCAATAGAGGTGGCCATTGTGATGTCGATCATGAAAACTTGTCATACTGTTTGATCGTTTAAAGAGATTCACTTTATACTTGTGATCAATATCCAAGCAAAGCATGAAATGTTCAAAAATGAAGAAAAAGAAAAGAGCACACATGAGAAATTTTCATGTAAAGAGAGACCCACGTTATGGAGAATAGACACCGGGAACAATTAAAAGTCTACCTCTTTGGAAGATCAGGCACAAGAACATACAAAACTGTAGGCTCCAGAACTTTGCACTTGCTCCCTCCATCTATTTGAGAAAGTCTCAGTTCTCGAGGGAAAGATTTTTGTTTATCTTCGATTGCTTGCCGCTCTGATGTTGGAACATGACTCGAACAGTACACAATAAATGAAATGGCGGAGGTGGATAAGGAACACTTGAAGCATTTTGCCACTGCTTCACTGTTTTTTAGTGCTTGTTCCAGCTCAGCAATAGCACCGCCACAGCTAAGAGTCATAGTGGGAGGGTCGAGCCCCAGCTGCCCAGCCATATAGAGTATCTCCTTGTGCAAAGTTGCCTAAAACAAATGAACTTATTTACTTCAACCATAAGTGTAAAACCAGGAATAACTAACACTGTAATTGATAGAAGAAAACAGGATGGGGACTAACATGGTACCTGGCTATACGGCCCGATGCAACTTGGTGCCCAGGAGGAAATACTTTGAACATGTAAAACATTTTTGCTTCTATCATTTGCCACTAGAACTTCAACATAGGCTCTCCCCAAGTCAGCATGCAACAAAGGCAGTTCTATCGTGCTGCGGGATGGAACCCCAAAGGGACACTTCTCCTGTGTAATAAATGCCACATATGTCTCATTTGCAATAGCAAATTCATTCATATCAGCAATATAGAGATGGATATATAGGACATGCCCCCAGCCAAACCCATATACTGCCAGCTCAGATTCAATGTGCTTAAGAATAATGCTAAGATCTTCCTTCAGACCTGGAAAGCAAGTGGCGCAGAACTCCATAAAAAAGGACACATGACCAGTCTGTCGCAACTTGAGAAAGAAACTGAAGGGAAAAGGTTACTTGGAATGGTTTATCCTCTTAGTTCTGGCCTTTTTACCTGCAGAAGTTTTTGATGAATCTTGCAACCAGCATGAGATTGAAAAGGTGTTTTCCTTCCTAGTTCTGGAGATGCAAAGCCGATTGTCTGAATGTGCAATGGAATCAGTGCTGCAAGCAACAGCTTGGCAAGTGTTCTCACTTTCTTCTGAGCAGTCTCCCTGCACCTCAAATACAGAACCTACTTCTTTCTGAAGGAACTCAAGGGTTTTATCACTACCGTGCATAAAGACGGGCTCTCCCTTCCTCTCCAAATGATACTTCGAGGGGTGGAGAATCCCCACTGGAGCAATCGAGTCTGGAGAGTCTAAGAAAATTTGAGATTCGTCTAGTACAATTCTGGCATTCTGAAAAAGTCAGTGGACGTGAAGATATGAGAATTCAAGTGGCCAGGCTCCATGAGATATGAAAGGAGTATGAAGATAGGATATAATGTGGGCTTGAGTAGGGGAAAAAACTGAATAAAGATCTGAAGATGATAAGCCACAAGAGTAGACTTACTGTGAAGAGTGGGCAGTCAAGTGTCAGTGTCTCATATTCACCCCCTTCACCACAGACATTAATACCATACAGCCTGCAAAGGTCTTAACCAAATAAGAGCGTAGATAGACCTAATTTTTATGAAGAGAAGAATTGCAACAACTATAAGCGAACACAAGAAAATAGAAAAGTGAACCAGACGCACTCTTTCAACTTATGGAGATGGGGCTTCAGAAATGATATTTCCTTACCCAAATGCTTTCCAGGATCCAACCCCATGGCTGCTACCTATATCAAGCAAGGAGATATCTTTATATACCAACCCACAACAGCAATGAATAGGTTTGAAAACAGTAATGAAGGAATTCCTTTCACTCCTAGTTCAAGAAAGAATGGCATCGATTGTAAACTAGAAGCTGTCGAAAAGTTCAACAATTACAGGCAACTTTACCTTCACAGTAATAGCCGCTATCTCATTCGCTATCTGGTAGGAGGAACAATAAAACAAAGCAGAAATCCATCATGAGTGGGAAAATGACAATCAAGAGGAACCATCTAAGAAAGTGAACGCCTATCCAAATATTATCTGAAGATGGAAAAAAATATTTACCATTTCATCAAGGAGCAACGACTGATCCTGTTTCCATAAATATGCTAGAGAAACGAGCCCTAACCTTGAACAAATACTTTCTACTCGTAGCCTCTGGTAATCTGATGCAATTGCACCAGAAGACACAGCAGTAACACTAGGGATCTGCCTCTTAACCTCTTTCAACAAAACAAACATATCTTCAACCTCATCGCCATGAGTCATCTTGTAGTTCAGCTCTTGATGCCTAGATGACATAATCAATCAACATACTTCCATTATCAAAACCCACATTTCTTCAAACCCAATTTCCCAGTCCCCTCCCTTTATCAAATCATCCATAAACCTCACTAAAACAACACAGTAGTCAGTAAAACTTGCCTGGTAGTTCCCTTTATTTGCCTTCTAAACAAAGGCACACCCATGCATTCAGCGTAACTGACTATGATCTGGTGACCAACCTAACAAAAACAACTACTCAAATCAATAAAAGAAAACCCATGATCAAAATCGCAGGGGAAGTAGTGAAATTGAAGAAAGGAAGACTTACAGTTTGATACATGTAGCTATCCAACTCGTCGACTGTTATATCGGCCGGCATCAAGTTTGCCAACGCCACAATCTGCGAGCTAAACGAATGAGGAAGACAAATTGCCCCGAGCAAGGAAAACAAATAAGGAAAATAAAAGGTGTTTTCTTTTTCGTCGCAAACGAACAAGGAGCTGACCTCGTGACCATACTGGATGCACTTCATCATGGCATAGCAGCTATCCTTGCCGCCGCTGACCAGAGCTACTACCTTCATTCTCGGCGGTGACTGTTAAGCCGACGTTTGTGAAGGTAGACCGGAAGGGATGCAGAGTTGGGATTTCGTCGGTCTGATAGCTTTTGCTTTCAGGCTTCAGCGACACGGGTGGCTACCGATTGGTCTTCTCTTCTGTTAGGTCTGCGCTGACTCGTTTCGCTCCTATAAGGGTAAAACTAGTTAGGTTGTACACCTAAAAGCGTCAAAGATGCCGATTTATCTTAGGAACATCTTATCTTAGTTTTTGGAGAGACCAGCAGAAAAAAGTTGTCATCTCGACTCCATTAGTGAAATTTTCTCCTGAGATTAATCTATTGACAATGATGCCTACCGATCAAGTCGAGGAAAAATTAGCCAACCTCCCTACTGTTATTCCTATATAAAGTTTATAAACAAAACTGTTACTCAACCTTGTTGTGGATGTCATTGAAAATTAGAAATATGAATGCAAAATTACAAGCAAAAATTCAAGTGGATGCTATCATAAACTCGTAAAAGTAAATTGTTGTTGTGATAAACACACTAAACTAAGCTGCTGTTGTTATGCGCACACACAAATGCATACTATTTTCAACATGAAATTCCAAGTTTTTCTAGGAGAAGGATAATCAAAACATAGAAGCTTAAACTATTTACAATGTAAAAGTCTAAATTTTATGAAACCCAGGCTTAAACTATTTTCTAGGAGACTAAATTCTGCAGATGATAAAAACCCAGGCTAATTAGTCTCGAAGCAGAAAGAAAGATGGAATAATCGAAACAAACCTTCTGTTAGCTAATAGCATACTGAATGAAAAGAGTGATGTTTGCTCAACGATACCTCGAAGCTGAAGAAGAAAATCGAAGTTGTGATGTAGAGGTGTTGAAAATTTTTGTATGCAGTACCTTGAATGGGAATAGGAGGGCCGAAAGCTGGAGAAGGAAATCGGATCGGATGTAGAAGGGCGGCGAGGGGTTATTTGAGTTTCCGAAGGATTGAGTAATTTACAGAGAGAGTGACATTTCGTCGACGATATCTCGAGGTCGGAGAAGAAAATTAGGGTTTTTGATTTAGAAGAATTGAATACTCTGCAGTCTGCACTCGTCAAGAAAGAATGGGGCGACCGACGGAGTAAGAGATCGGAGAATTGATGTAGAAGGGCGTGGGATTAATTGGGATTTCCGACTGCAAGCAATGGGTCGGGTTGGGACAGGTTTTGTCAAACCCAAACCCAAATTCATGGGTTTATTCGTCAAAAAAACCCAGGGTAAAACCCGTTGGGTATCCGCGGGTTCATGGGTACCCGTGGGTTTTTGTGGTAAAAATTTACAATAATAAGTTTCTTTCAAAATAAAAGTTTTAACATCAACTTTCTCATACAAATTAATCATACAAAAAACACCAATCTAGAGCATACAAACAAATCGCAAATGATCAATACAAATTGTTCAAAATTAAAGATAAACATATATAAACAATAAGATTAATTGAAAGCTTCTTCCTCGTCAACTAAGTTTCTTCACTCTCCACTTCATAATATCAACTTCATTCTAAACAATTAGAAAGAACAAATTATATATGTCTCCACAAACATATAGAATATTACTTGTTTAAGGAAGATATATTATTTAGAATATTAAATATACCGGGAAAGTAATTATATGTGTGTGGGCAGGTACCCATGGGGCGGGTTTACCTAAACCCAAACCCAACCCGACCTGGTGAACAGTGTAGCGGGTTTAAACCCGAACCGGCCTAAAACTCGTCAACACGGGTTGGATCGGGTGGGTACCCGTGGGTTCGGGTTTTGTTGTCATCCCTAACTGCAACAGAATGAGATTGAAAAGAATTGTCTAATTTACATATATGTCCCTCCGAACTGTGCGGCCTGTGAAGGAGGAGCTTACGTGGCAAACTTATTTTTATGACATTGCCTTATTGTATTGTGTAGACACCAGAGGGACTTCCAAGAGAAAGACCACTGAACTACCTTTTTGGGGGGTTTCTTTGGTCCTTCTTCCGGATCCGGGCAACGGATTTGGGCTTTAAGCATTTAGGATTTTTTGCCCTAAATTAAATAGTTATAAATTTTTTTAATCAAAATTGAAAAGTGTTTATAAAATTTTCAACAGTACACATGTTTTCACCAAATCGCAGTCGACAAAGGTGATCAATCCACAATTCGCGTATGAGTAAAGCGATTTGGTTAAGATTACTTTCCGGGAACGCGATTAGCGCGGATCGCTAACCTGACAAATGATCAATGGTCGAATTGCTTTTGGCGGATGCAATCCGCGTTAATCGCTTCCGTGTGACGCGATTGGTTGTTAGAATGAATCAACTAAGAGTGTGTTGATATATGAGAATATCGGGTTAACACTAGTTTAGGAATTCCTACGGTCAAAGAATCTGACATCGAGTCTATGCGTGATCGAGAGGAAAGGTATAATTAACTTGGGGGATTTGAAGTATGAACAACACCTCTCTCTGCTTGAGTTTGTCTCCTGACCACGTTTGCCTTGACTGAATTTCGTTTTCTTCTTAGTTAATTGAACAAAACTTAAAAGAGATCGGTTAAATAGTAAGAAATACAACTTAGTACTAGTAGTCAACACCTCTGACTCTCTGTGGAATACGACCTTACTTGCCACTATATTACCCTTACGCAAGTTGCACTTAGAATTGGGCGATCACTCATGCATTTCCTTCCATAGATCTCATCAAGTCAACGGAGTTTGACCTCGTCGCTAATTTCTCGGGTCATAGTTCAACGCAAGTTGCCACCGTTTCCAAAAAAAGAAAGTTAGAGAGAGAGAGAGAGAGGAAAAGTTAGAAAAAAATTCCTCTGCCCTCTCTCCTTCTCCTTTTTCTGCCCGTTGGTATGCAGGCGGAGCCTGCACCGTCGGAGACGGTGGCGAACCACTATATAAAACCCCCCGACGGATCCCAAGCTGACTCCCCAATTCAACCCAGCAAGAAATCGAAGACACTAAGCTGCGAAGACCACCCAGGCCAAGCAGGAAAGGAAATTGATTTTGTGACTGCGAGATCTAAGAACGATGAAACGGAGGATAGTTAGGTGGAGAAGATGAATGAGGATAGTGAAGAGCCAGAAGCGAAGAATCACGATGAAGAGCATCCCAAAAGCTCGTACAAAGACACCTTCCTGGGGAATAAACCGCCAATTCCTATTCCAAAGGGGAACGAGCTAATGTCGGATGAGTTTGAGGGCGAAGACGGGGAAGATGACCCAGATTGGCCAACTGTGAGAATCAAGAAAAGCACAGATGCGCGGATCCAGCAACGCTGGAGTAGAGCAATCACTTTTCGAGTCCTGGACAAGTCTTACCCTTTTGCTTTCATCCAACGTCGGATCCAGAAGATGTGGGCTAAGACAGGAGGAGTCAAAATCGGCGACATTGGAAACGGGTATTTTCAAGCTATTTTTGATTCTCAACTTGATTACAGTAGAGCCTTGTATGGAGGCCCATGGACAGTGGATGATCATTACATTGTGTCTGAGCCATGGAGATTGGATTTTGATCCGGACTATGATGTTATCAATCGAAAAACAGTGTGGGTTCGACTCCCACGACTCCCACTTGCTTACTTCGATTAAGAAATTCTTATGGACATTGGAAGCAAAATTGGTAGGGTGGAGAAGATAGACTACAACACGTCTAATGGATTCTGAGGCAATTATGCAAGGATTTGTGTTCAAATTGACTTGAGAAGAAGATTGGTTCTAAATACAGATTGAAGAGGCGTGTGAGAAGGGTTGAATATGAAGGCTTGCACAACGTCTGCTTTGAATGTGGCTGCCATGGCCATCTAGAAGAAAACTGCCCAACGAAACAAAGAGAGGGAACCAGGGGAACATGAGAAACTCATACTGCTGAAACTAATTTTCGGAAAGAGCTGAGACTAGAGATTATGGAGGACTTCGGGCCATGGATGATTGCAACCAGACCTAGAGGAAGAAACTACCAACCAAAAACAAGAAAGAAGAAGGCAGTCAAGGAACCAAAGTTAATACGAAGGCCAAGGCTGGATCTGGATAACGATTTGAAGCATTTGAGGAATCTGACGAAGATGAAGATGAAGGTGACAGTGAGGCTGTCGATGAAGGAGCTCCCCTAGAAGCCACTGATCAGAAGAGTGATGATGAGGAAATGGTTGATCAACCCGATCTGGAAAAAGCTAATGAGCAACTGAAGGAAAGTATGGAGAGCGAAAAACAAGGCGATAATGTGGAAAAAAACCCTATGAAAAAGAGGAGTGGGAACGAAAAGCCTAGCAAAGAGGAGACTGACTCACTCCTACTGTCACTCTAGAAAATGGCCAAGTGTAACCACTTTCTAAAGCGTAGTATAGAGGGTTTGGGTTTTAATGTCAACCCGGGTCCTAGATGTGATGACTACTCAGTGAATTCTTATTATCTAGCGGTGAAACTAAAGTGCAGGTTAAACAATCAAAGCAAGCAAAGCAAGTTAAACGGTTGTTTCAAGTCGAGAGAGGTCACCCGGATATGGTTCCCCCTAGACTGCAGTTAAGCCGGATTGCAATTACCAAGTTCAGTTTCGATGATAGTTATACTGCGGAAGGCTCTTAAACAGTCAGAAGTCTCGACTAAAGGTCTCCAGACCCTCTCAATCTGAGTCCCCACCGGGCGACTAACCTCCACCGGAGTAAACAAATTGAGGCCCCAACGAACCAAACCTCCATTACCGAAGCAAATTCGGTACAGAATAGTGAATTGGCTCCTCGACTAAAGTCGCCAATTCACTACCTTCAATTAAGGGAGCTCTATTAACCTAGGCAGATATTCTCATTCTAGGCTAAAGCAGAAATAACAGGAATTTGATCAGGATTCAAGTCATTCAATCATTCAAGCCTCAATTAAATATAATCAAACCATAAAATCTGTACTTGGATTCATACAATCAGACCTAACATACAAATCTAGGGTTCTCCATACCCAGATGAATGGGAGAACTACTCCATGGAGAAAGAAGCAAAGCAGATTCAGATGCGGAAACCATACTGTGAAGGATGGATTTCTGCTCCTGGTCGTCGATCGACACTTCTCCAAGCTCAAGCCGGGCTCCAATGGTGATGAAGATCAAGCTATGGCACTTGGGAACTCTTGTTCGTCACTTTCTCTCTCTAGGAATCGCTCTGTCTCTCTAAAACTCGGAACCTTTGATTTTTAGCCTTCTCTTCCCTTAAGAAGTTGCCTGTTGCGATACCCGGTCGAAATACCCGGTCGGGTATTTTGGGTCTCGACCGGGTATAATTGAAATGCGCGTTTAATGTCAGGGGAAAATCCTCGGTCTGGCCCAAGAATCCCCGACCGGGGGTTTTTGCCTCCTGCCCGGGCCCCCTTCTGTTTCTCTAGGACGCCCAAAACGATAAATACCCGGTCGGGCATTTGAGCCCATGATCGGGTATTTTCCTCCTGCAGCACACTTCGACCCAACTTCACTCGTTTCTTAGCCTCCATTCCAACGCCGGGCCCTGAAATATGACATAAACGCACAACCTCTCGTGAAATCGGCTTAAAACACGAGAATCAACCTCTCAAACGGCTCAAGAATAGGGGTAAAAACATGTGTAATTATTGGTCTAACAACCTCCCCCACACTTAATCATTTGCTTGTCCCCAAGCAAACCTAACTCAAACCAATGCAACTCTCCGGACCTCTATAGCAACAAACAACCCCGATCGTCGATAGAGGATTTTTTAGATCATTTAGCAGCTTATGAGGTCAACTGACGCACAAGTCATCTCATAGCTTCTTCGGCGAGAACGCTAGTCTTGAGTCGGCATCATGGTAAATAGTGATCAGAGGACAAATGAATCGTGGACGAATGGACTCTTAAAAACAAAAAATCATGGACTCGCATTTTTAAGGTGCTCTATTTTCTTCTTGAAGATGGTTGGAACCCATTTTTTCCTTGTTTTTCTATTTTTTTTTATTTTTATTTTCAAGGATTCCAACCTGTTTTTCAAAAAATGGGGCTCCCGCCTAGCAGAGGTTTTGCGGGAGCCCGGCTCTTACCAGCCATGCCAGGAGCGGATGTCTCGAGCCTCATGTGAGGGAAAGAAATGTAAGGGGGCTGGAGGTAGTAGGTGGAAATTGGGAACGGATTCCCGTCTCCCCTTACACACTTTCGCCCTATTCGCACGGGAGACGTTATTTTAAAGCACATTTTTGAGCACCTTTTATTTTAAAACATGATACAGGAGTCCATGACAGGTAGAGAGTCCACATCACCACACAATTCAAGGGTCCTAAGATCACTAATTCACACAATCAACCAACACAATATGAAGAAGAAAAGAGACTTCTTAAATGCATGAACATCCTCCATAGTGCTACACTACCTCCCTAGGTTGCACATTACTATAGAGACTGTCAATTCAAAGCATACTGAGTAGGCAATTGCAAGGAACACGTACTTGGAGCCCTCAAATTTAAAAATTTGGACAGTGGACTAGGCTCCAAGCACACACAAACAGATCTAATGTATTCAAAAGAGAAACACCCCCCACACTTAAGATCGACATTGCCCTCAATGGAGAAGAGGGAAAGATAAGGGGAACGATGTTACCGGTGTGCACGGACTGCAGGAGACTGGAAGCGGACCAGTCGGAGTGAAGCGGACTGGAGAGAGGACCAGTCAAGAACAAGCACAGCTAAAGGAAACCAAAGAGCTCAAACACAATACGTTAGGTCCAATGGTCAGCCCAATAGTACAACATCCAAAATAAAAAGAGAGAAACTAAACCGACACAAGACAGTTTGCACGCACAAAAACAAAAACACTCAAAACATGCCACTAGGGGCCTCCTAGACCGGTGAAGTCGATCTGGTTTATGAGGTCGTCGTCCCCATCCGCCGGTGGTGGTGGTGGTGAATGATCCCACCGGGTGGTCCAATGGTGCTCCTCTGGTGGGTGACAAGCCTAGAGCAGGTGCTCCGAGTACTCCATTAATCGGCGGCCTCGATCTCTCTCCCGCTCGATGAGAGCACCCGTGACTCCCATATGGGTCTCGAAGCGGCCAAGGCGCTCGTCAACAACTGTCAGCCTGGACTGGTACTCGGCCTGGTGGGCCGAATACTGCTGGTAGAACTGGACCTGATGGTCCATGAGCTGCCGGTTCTGAAGACCGAGCTGCTGGAACGGGATCCCCATCTACTGGAACTGCTCTGTGAAAAAGTCCATCGACGGGCAGAAGCCACCGACGGACCAGAAGGACCGGAGGAGGACTCACCTCTCCCTGGTCTCCGTCGTGGCCGAAGGTCCCCTGCTGGAGAGAGTGGGGGTTCCGGCTCATCAGCATCCATGGCCCCGCCATCATCATCATCATCATCCTCCTCCTCAACGGTGTAATCAGCATCCTACTCGTCCTCATCGAGGCCCGCATCCTCCTCAGGGGGCATGGAGAGCCCATCCACCCAGGAACGGGTGCCGTCAGTGGCCAGGAGGAGTGCATTGTGAAGCACGTCCCGGCTGAGGGGGGCAGAGCCGCCCCGGGCAGTAGAATCGGTGAGTTCATCGAAGCTGATGTCGAAATGGCGCGCCAAGCGGGTGATCAGGGGACCACAAAAGAGATGGTTGGGCTTCCCGTGGCATCGAGAGAAGGTGGTAGCCACGAAGGAACCCAAATGCAGAATGTGATCCGGGTCCCCCATCGAGTACATGGCGTACAGTACCCGCTTCGGGATCTTGTGGGAGCCAGTGACGTTGGGGACGACGAATCGGGTGATGAGCAGGTTCAGAATGTGCCACTGCGGCTTCAGGGTGCGAACAGATGTCTGGCCAGTGTCGAAGTAGTCGAACGCATAGGTGCGCCGGGCAATCCGCTGGTAGAACTCATCCATGTACCAGTCTGTCGGGTTCGGGACCTCGATCTCGTGGCGGGAGGATGGGTGATACTGGATCCCCATGGCGGAGGCCACCCCATCTATAGTCAGCTGCTGTTGGCGGCCTCCCAGCCTGAAAGTGACCGCGTAGGAGTCCCGGGCCGCCTTGGGGAGGTACTGAAACGTGGTGTAGAACTCCCACACCAGCTCGGTGTAGGCGGGCTCCTCGATCTTCAGCAAAATCCGCCAATCCCGGTGGCTGATGGCGGAGGAGAGCTCCTGTATGCAGTGGAGCTGCTCGAAAACAACCCACTCCAGATGGTAGTGGCGCTCCAGTTTCCCCCGGATGACCTTGCGGAACTGATCCGCGTAATCCCGGTGCAGGCGCAGGTCCTGCACAAATGGATGGTCTAGTGACATGTTCCTGCAAAATTAGCAAACCAAAGGTGGAGCCAAGAAAAACTTGTCAGGACCAACAGTATGTGTTCATTACTTCCCCCACACCTAAGGATCACCTAGGCTAGCAGTTTAAGCAGAGACGGTTGAATCGCAAACAACTCAACCGGAATCAAGGCAAGAACCATAGAACCAACCACATTAATTACACGGGCAGCACATACACCATAGATTGAACCATGCATACTCAAAGCATCCCTCACCCTATTCTAAATCATGCACGCAAATACAGTTCTCGGTCCTACAATCTACAGTTCGATTTTCTAGGAAAGAGCAGTTAACAAGAAACACACCTGAAATCGCAAGTAGAACTGTAGCTAAGGCTAAAAAAAGGGTGAGGGACGCGAGACGGAGGCAAAAAATGATCAGGGAGGCTCGCCGAAAAATGGCCGGGAAACCGCCGGAAGGTCGCCGGAAAACGACCGGCGGCGGCTGGGGCGGCGGAGTGCGGCTGCCGGCGGCGCTCAAGAAGAGAGAGGTGATAGGATTTGGCAGGAAGAGAGAGGAGAAAATTTTGAAAAAAGAGGGTAGAGAGAGAAACTGACCGGGGGTTTGCTATAAATAGCAAAAATCCCCGGTCGAGGCTCGAAAATACCCGGTCGGGTTTTTTGATTCCACGACCGGGGGTTCCAAAACGCGGCGTGTGGAGGGCAAGGAAATCCCCGATCTTGAGCCAAAAATACCCGGCCGGGTATTTTTGGGTCAAGGTTGGGGGGGTTTGAAAACGCTGCGTTCCATCTTGGGAAATCCCCGGCCGTGAACCAAAAATACCCGTTCTGGTATTGTTGGGACAAGGTCGGGGGTTTTCCCTTTTTCACCCCGAGAAGCAGAGGGGGCCCGATTGTGGACCAAAAATACCCGGTCGGGTATTTTGGCCCACGACCGGGTATTTGCCCCCTTCCGGCCAAAAATCTCATTCGCCCAAATTTTCGACCTCTCCTGCACGACAACACCAAATCGAGGCATAACAGACGACCGAACTTCACCACAGACATGCAACTGACTCAATACGACACAAAAACTCAGAAAAAAGGGAAAAAGAAATGCAAACCATGGTGGGGTTGCCTCCCCACAATCGCTTCTTTATCGTCTTTTAGCTGGACGCCCATGGTGGATACTCAGGGAGGTGCAGGAACAGGTGCCTCCAAGAGCGGATCCACGTCACTCTTGAGGTACAACTTCAGGTTGTGGCCATGCACCCGACGGGTGCAACCACCAGCATTGGTCAGCTCGACCTGGCCATCCGGCAAGATGCAGACGAGTGAGTACTCGGATGGCCAGGGTGGTCGTGGTGCAGGGGGTGGAACCAGCTCGTAGTGGTCTCCACCCTTCTTCCGTGCAGGCTTAGTAACCTGCTGCTTCGGCCGCCACTCCTCCTTGATCTTTTTGTTCGGAGGCGAGACTGGATGGAGTGGCGGCGAAGGAATGATAGGAGGGTCCTGCAAAATGAGAGGTGCAGAAGGATACACGACAGGCTCATGTACCTGATCAGAAATGGCATGCACAGGTGTGACAACAATCATAGCACAGTGATCGAATTCAGTCACAGAAAAAGTAGCCTGTTCATTCCCAGCACGCAGAATCAGTTTACCATCATGCACATCAATAAGTGCCTTGGCGGTGTCAAGAAATGGTCTACCCAGAATCAAAGGCACATCCACATCCTCATGTATATCAAGAATAACAAAATCAACAGGATATGTGAATGCACCTACATTAACAAGCAGATCCTCTATGATCCCCCTAGGATGCACAATGGAACGATCAGCTAGCTGAATGCTCATCCTAGTAGGGCTAAGTTCACCTAGGTCTAACTTTTTATACAACTTATATGGCATGACATTTATGCTATCGCCTAGGTCCGCCAAGGACTTGCCTACATGCATGCTGCCAATTGTAAGAGGGATAGTAAAACTCCCTGGGTCCTTGCGCTTTTCCGGTAGCTTGTTCTACAGGATAGCAGAACACTCCTCGCTCAGCAACACTGTCGAGAGATCCCCCAATTTCTTCTTGTTGGTGAGGAGATCTTTCATGAACTTCGCGTACTTGGGCAACTTCGACAGTGCCTCCACAAACGGTATGCTAATGTTGAGCTGCTTCAACATTGCCATAAACTTGGCAAACTCAGTCTCCAGATTGTCTTTGTGTAGGCGAGTGGGGAAGGGAAGCTGGGGTACATGCTCCTTAACCACTGGTTGTGGCTTGGGAAAGGGGCTTCCTTCTCCACCCGCACTTCTGCATCGTCGGTTGGAAGTGCTGAAGCAGGTAGTGGTTCCTCCTGCCTGGCCGGGACAGGATCAGCGGATATGGTCTTACCGCTCCTGGTAAAAATGGCATCCAGCTGCTGGTGCGGCTCTCGTGGATTGGGGATGGTAGTGGTAGGTAGAGTTCCCGGGGTCCGGGTATTAATTTGGCGAGCCATGCTACCCATCTGGTTCTGTAGATCTTGCAAAATGGCACCTTGGTTCCTCTGGCCTGCCTCCAGTGAGGCTATGCTCTGGTCCAATCTCGTGACAGTTGCCTAAGTGGTAGTCATGAATGACGCTAGAATGTTTTTCAGCTCCATCATCTGATTATTTGGAGTCGGAGCTGCTGCTGGCTCGACATACTGACGCTGGAGCTGCTGGAATGGTTGCCCCTGCATAGGCTGGTAGGGCTGGCCCCTGTCGAGCCTGGAAAGGCTGCCTCTGCTGAAAACCCCCAGCTGGTGCTGGGAAACCAGGTGGTTTAGTGGTGTTGCTGCTCCAAGAGAAATTGGGATGCTGGCGCCATCCCTCATTATATGTATTGCTGTACGGGTCGAGGCGCCGAGCGTTGGCGATGAAGTCCAACTGCTCTTCGGGAGTAGAAGACTCCCTCATAGCCTGGCAGTCTTCCACTAGGTGATTTGAGCTCTCACACCACTGACATTGAGCTACTGGAGGTGTAGCCAAACCTCTGCCCGGAATAAGACTGTTGGGCTACTTCAATGTCTGCACTAACTCGGCTACCTGCTGCTCGAGCCTGGATTTGGTCTCCATGGCGTGCACACCACGGTCCCGGGAATGTCTGCCTATGCTGCTCTGCCCCCAGGAATGATCTCTGGCAGCCAAGGTACTGATCATCTGGTTCAGTTCGGGTGGAGTCTTAGTAAGAATATCCCCTCCTGGGCATAGAGACTCAATCACCCTCTGGCTGTCCGGAGAGAGGGCACTGTAGAAGTTCGCCACTGTGAATGCATCACTGAAGCCATGATGGGGACATTGCCAGAAATATCCCATGTACCGCTCCCATGCATCACGAAGTGAGTCGTCTGGCTCTTGGCGGAAGTGAGTGATCTCCCGCTAGATCTCTGTTGTCTTCGATACTGGGTAGTACCTGTGCACGAACTTGTCAGCCAGATCATCCCAAGAAGTGATGGACAATGGGGGCTGGGTCTCCAACCACCTCTTAGCATTCCCCGCCAGAGAATGTGGGAAGAGGTGAAGGCGGATTGCATCATCAGGGACACCATTAAGCTTGAACCCATTCGTCAGCTGCAAAAAACGGGAAAGATGCACCATTGCCTACTCATCCTTCAAGCCATGGAACTGGTTAGAGGATGTAATGAGTTGAATCCAGCATGGCTTGATCTCGAAATTGTTCGCTGGAATAAGCGGGTAGAGGATGATCGGGCGGATGTCAGCAATCCTTGGAGTGTAGTAGTACTCCAAGGTGGGACCCGACGACGGTGGATAATGATGAACCCCATCTGCCTGGGGTATGGGGTTGTTCCCCAAGACTTGATTCACCGGGGGAGCCTGGTGAGGATTCCCCTGGTGTGGATTGTAATCTCCTTCCATCTCGTCCTCGTCCTCGGACTCGCTGCTCAAATGGCCGTCTATGCGCTCCTCCGTAGCCAGTCTAGCTCGCTGTTGTCTCCTGAGTTGGCGACATGTGCGTTCAATCTCTGGATTCAACGAGAATAAACCTCCCGACTGGCTACGGGTCATGCACTACCTGCACACACTCAAGCAAGCAAACCCGTGAAGGCACAAGTGGGAAAGAACAAACAGTCAATGTGAAAACGAAAATGCTAAAGTAACATAAATCACTTTTCTTCAACAACCTAGCCGTCCCCGGCAACGGCGCCAAAAACTAGACTCACTCCTACTGTCACTCTAGAAAATGGCCAAGTGTAACCACTTCCTAAAGCGTAGTATAGCGGGTTTGGGTTTTAATGTCAACCCGGGTCCTAGATGTAATGACTACTCAGTGAATTCTTATTATCTAGCGGTGAAACTAAAGTGGAGGTTCAAACAATCAAAGCAAGTTAAATGGTTGTTTCAAGTCGAGAGAGGTCACCCGGATATGGTTCCCCCTAGACTACAGTTAAGCCGGATTGCAATTACCAAGTTCAGTTTCGATGATAGTTATACTGCGGAAGGTTCTTAAACAGTCTGAAGTCTCGACTAAAGGTCTCCAGACCCTCTCAATCTGAGTCCCCAGCGGGCGACTAACCTCCACCGGAGTAAACAAATTGAGGCCCTAACGAACCAAACCTCCACTACCGAAGCAAATTCGGTACAGAATAGTGAATTGGCTCCTCGACTAAAGTCGCCAATTCACTACCTTCAATTAAGGGAGCTCTATTAACCTAGGCAGATATTCTCATTCTAGGCTAAAGCAGAAATAACAGGAATTTGATCAGGATTCAAGTCATTCAATCATTCAAGCCTTAATTAAATATAATCAAAATCATAAAATCTGTACTTGGATTCATACAATCAGACCTAACATACAAATCTAGGGTTCTCCATACCCAGATGAATGGGAGAACTACTCCATGGAGAAAGAAGCAAAAGCAGATTCAGATGCGGAAACCATATTGTGAAGGATGGATTTCTGCTCCTGGTCGTCGATCGGCACTTCTCCAAGCTCAAGCCGGGCTCCGATGGTGATGAAGATCAAGCTATGGCACTTGGGAACTCTTGTTCGTCGCTTTCTCTCTCTAGGAATCGCTCTGTCTCTCTAAAACTCAGAACCCTTGATTTTTAGCCTTCTCTTCCCTTAAGAAGTTGCCTGTCGCGATACCCGGTCGAAATACCCGGTCGGGTATTTTGGGTCTCGACCGGGTAAAACTGAAACGCGCGTTTAATGTCAGGGGAAAATCCCCGGTCTGGCCCAAGAATCCCCGACCGGGGGTTTTTGCCTCCTGCCCGGGCCCCCTTCTGTTTCTCTAGGACGCCCAAAACGATAAATACCTGGTCGGGTATTTGAGCCCATGACCGGGTATTTTCCTCCTGCAGCACACTTCGACCCAACTTCGCTCCTTTCGACCCAAAACTCGTTTCTTCGCCTCGATTCCAACGCCGGGCCCTGAAATATGACATAAACGCACAACCTCGCGTGAAATCGGCTTAAAACACGAGAATCAACCTCTCAAACGGCTCAAGAATAGGGGTAAAAACAGGTGTAATTATTGGTCTATCAGAGACCATTGTTAGCAAGAAAACTCAGAAGCAGAATATCAAAAAAGAGTACCAAAAACCGACGCCAGAGTCCTCTAAGACAATGAAGGCAGGGAACCTCCCTCCTTTTGTTGATAATCCCAGCAAGGGTGCTCCTTCTAGGAAGGGGAAAAAGGAGGTTGGTGCTAGGAATAATAGCCATCATGGTGAACAGCAAAGAAGAATCCAGTCCACCCCTTCTTCTAAATCTCAGGAGAAGAAGAAAGGTTTGAATGGTGATGGCCAAGCTGGACACCAACCAAAGATGAAGCAAATCCAAGGCATGGAGAACAACAGGTCAACAAAAGATCAGTCACATCAGTCCCCAGAAAATGGGAAAGGGAATCCAAGGAAGATTGATTTCAATCGAAGCCCGGGAAACCTGAAGAAACAACCTGAAAATGTTCTCAAAACTCTATCTGCCAGCAATGGAGATAGAGTAGAGAGAAATGAGACAGCTATGGCTGTTGACACGGAATGATCCAGCCGCCTGGTCAGCAGGGGACCCACCTTAATCAGTCTTATGATTAAAGTCTTCTCCTGGAACTGCAGGGGTGCTAAGCACCCTAAATTTCGTTCAACTTTTTAGTTGTTTAAGGCCACCCACTCCCCAAATGTGGTCTGTATTTTGGAACCTAGAGTCAGTGGGAAAGATGTCATCTCCATTATCAAAAGCCTAGGCTTTGACTCATGGAAGGTTTCGGATGCTGTTGGGTTCAGTGGAGGAATTTGGGTCCTCTGGAATAAATCTGATATGGAAATGGAAGTCTTAGATGTCAAAAAGCAGTTCCTCCACCTGGAATGCTCAATTAATAACAGAGTTGTGTGTCATGTCACGGCAGTCTATGCTAGCCCCAATGAGCATGACAGAGGGGAACTTTGGGACGCCATCCGAAACATAAGTCGAAGAACAAAGATCCCCTGGCTGATTCTGGGAGACTTCAACTCCATTACGAACTCTTCAGAAAAGCAAGGTGGAGCTCCCTTTAACTATGCCAAAACAAGGGCATTTAATGAATGAATTGAGGATTGTGGGTTGATGTACCTTGGTTTCAATGGTCCCCGTTTCACCTGGTTTACTAGCGGATCCAGAATCAAAGAGAGGCTCGATAGAAGCTTGTGTAACCTGGAATGGCACCAATGCTTTCCTGACACAACCAACTACCATCTGCCTAAAATTAAGTCTGATCACAGGCCAATCTTGACCTGCAACAAGAGAGAGCACAAAGAGAAAAGACTGGTGAGACGTTTCCAATTTTTGGCTCCCTAGTTATCACATAATGAATTCTTTCCCCTTGTTTCTTCTTCTTGGAACAGTGATAGCGAGTTCTGCTCCTCCTTGCAGGGTCTGGTTGAAATTATCCAGAAGTGGAACAAAGAAAGCTTTGGAAACATCTTTTGAAGAAAGAAACACCTGCTCAACAAGCTGAATTCTCTGGAATGCATGAATGAAAAGTTCCCTTCTAAACGTTCTCTTGAGAAAGAAGGAGAGGTTCGAGAGGAGTTGGAGCAAACCTTATCGCAAGAAGAAATCCTTTGGCTCCAAAAATCTCGAGCCAATTTTTTTGTGCATGGCAATCTGAATACCCAAATTTTCCACAACAACATTTTAAGCAGAAGGAAGAGGAACAAAATCATGAGGCTCAAAGACGATGGTGGAGATTGGGTCACTGATCCTGACATTCTTCAAGCAATGGCCAGAGATTTTTTTGTGAAGCAATTCACAAGAGAGGAAAAGGAAGGTCGGCATAGCATTGCGGCTGATTTCCCCAGGGTTGAGGCAGCTTGCTGTGCAAGGATGGGAGAACCACCATGTATGGAAGAAGTTAGACAAATCATCATGGGAATGAAGAGCATGAAAGCCCCTGGCAAAGATGGTCACCATACCCTCTTTTTCCAGAAATTTTGGAATCTGGTGGGCAAGAGCTTCTACAAGTTTAATGCTGACTGTTTTATGGAACCTGGAAAGATGAGCAGGGCCAATGAGACACTCCTAGCCCTCATCCCCAAGACTGATGCTCCCATGATGATGAGCCATTTTAGGCCTATCAGGCTTTGCAACATTGATTACAAAGTGGTAGCGAAATGCATTGCGAATAGACTGAAACCACTCATGAACAAACTCATTAACCCTACTCAGTCAAGTTTTGTTCCCAAAAGGCACATAACTGAAAATATTTTAATTTTGCAGGAAACTGTCCACTGCATGATGAAGAAATCTGGAAGAAAAGGAACGATGTTGCTCAAGGTGGATCTCGCCAAAGCTTATGACCGCATTGACTGGAGGTTCCTTGAAGAGACTCTCCAAGCAGCAAACATCCCTGAGAACTGCATCAGGATCATTATGGCGTGTGTCTCGACCTCGACTATGCAAGTTCTTTGGAATGGCGGTGAAACTGAGTCTTTCAATCCAAGCAGAGGACTTCGTTAGGGATGTCCCTTGTCCCCTTACATTTTTACTCTTTGCATTGAACGTCTTGGTCACTGTATTAGTAAATAAGTTAGGGAAAAGAGATGGATACCCATGAAACTATCGGTCAATGGACCTCCCCTGTCGCACTTGTTTTTTTGCAGACGACCTTGTGTTGTTTGCAGAAGCAAGTGTTAGACAGGCAGAGTGTGTCATGAAATGCCTCACTGATTTCTGTGATGCTTCTGGGGAGCTCGTCAGTAAGGAAAAATCTAGGGTGTTCTTATCCAAAAATGATAGAGAGGAGACTAGGAGAGCTGTTTGTGATAAGCTGGAAATCCAAGCCACTTTTGACCTTGGAAAATATATAGGGGTCCCTGTCCTCCACGGTAGGATTAATAGAAATACGTTTAGGTTCATCCTGGATAAATTGACCAGAAACTCACTGCCTGGAAAGCCAAAACCTTATCTCTAGCGGGAAGAGTTACGCTTGCTTTGACTGTCCTTAACGCCATCCCCACCTATGCAATGCAAACCTCCTTCCTACCTGCCTCTGTGTGTGATGCCATTGATCGTAAGATCAGATGGTTTGTGTGGGGATCTCAAGAAGGGAAAAGGAAGGTCCACCTTGTTGCTTGGGAAAATGTTTGTAAACCCAAAGAACAAGGGGGGCTTGGGTTAAGATCTGCGAGGAGTCTGAATTTAGCTTATATGATCAAGCTTGCCTGGAATGTGTTTAACAATGAGTCTGCTCTGTGGGTTCAAGTTATGCAGGGGAAGTACTTTAACTGGAAAGAGGGGAAGATTGTTTCAATGAAGAAATGCAATCATTCTCCCCTCTGGAGGGCAATACTGCGTGCCATGGAACCCATGAAGAGAGCAGCGACCTGGGGTATTAGAGATGGGAAGACTACTGCATTTTGGAAGCACCCTTGGCTTGAATGTGGGCTGGTCCTGGAGGACCACTTACTGAGAGAGATTTTAGAGCTGGAAGAAAACTCGGCGGTTGCAGACTGGGTCACAGCTTCAGGTGGGTGGGATTGGAGCAGATTGGAGAATCTCTTACCGAATGATGTTTTGTTAATGATTGCAGGGGCAGAGACACCAAAGCTCGAGATGGGGGGAGGATAAAGCAATTTGGGGAATCGAAGCTGATGGGAGATTTCGCCTCAAGTCAGCGTACAAGCTTGCTGCTGATGAGCTTGAAGAAGATGGAATCCCAGTTTGGAAGGACTTGTGGAAATGGAAGGGGCCGCCAAGGGTGAAGCATTTCCTCTGGCTCACCACCCACAACAGGCTGCTTACCAACAAAGAACGAGAAAAACGAAAGCTCACTAATGACAGCTGTTGTCCTCACTGTAGAGGGATTGATGAAACACCAGAGCACATTCTCAGACACTGCAACAAAACCAGGGGTGTCTGGAACCACTTCAAGATGAACAATGGTCAAAGACAAAACTTGGATTTCCAAACTTGGGTTCGAGAGAATCTGAAAGATGAGGAGAAAGGCTTTGAATTTGGCATTATCTGTTGGCATTTGTGGAAACAGAGGAACGAAGAGGCAATGGAGGGTCGAGCTTACTTTCAAGCCAGCATCATCCAACGGATTCGCTCATGGCTGAAGATTTATGAGCAGGCTATGGTCAATGAACAGTCCATCTCGGCCAGCACTTTGAGACATAGAGAAAACAAGCAGATCTCGTGGCGTCCACCTGAAGAAGGCTGGATCCAAATTCAGACGGATGGATCGGTCATCTCCCCCACAAGCAAAGCTGTTGCTGGTGGCCTCCTGCGTGACCAGGGGCGGAGCTACCTTATGCCTCCCCCCCCCCCCGGAGAATTTTGGAGATCGCGTGTAAAAATATCGGGAATTTTGAAAATTCTGAAGAAGTTAACTATTGTAGAATAACAATAATGAGTAACAATGTCTCGGTCTAGTCTAACGGAATGCAACAGCTGCCTGGTATTTGTGAATACCCAGTACCATGGTTCAATCCCTGTCAGCAACATTGGTTTTTTAGTTTTCCTACTTTGGTTGAGTTTTTGTTTAAAATATAGACTGATCACTTAACTTTTGTACTTATTCAAATACTTTTTAATTTCAAAGTTCAAACTAGATAATGAAATTTTGGAGCTTATAATATTTTTCTAATTTAGATAATTAAATTTCGGAGTCTAGATAATTAAATTTTGAAGCTTATGATTCACTATGTAAATATTTTTTTTTTTTACTGATATTATACAATAAAGTTCGACCCCCCGACCACTGGATCGTAGCTTCGCCCCTGTGCGTGACCACCTTGGACATTGTAAAGGTGCCTTTGTTTGCAACCTTGGTGCCTGTTCGATTACTGACGCTGAGCTCAAGGGTGCAGCTGAAGGGTTGAGTTTGGCCTGGTTAATGGGATTCAAAAAGATTCTCTTGAACCTTGATTCCATGACCGCCATCAGCATCATCAACTCTGGAGAAGATGATCACAGACACAACCTCCTCGCCAACCATATTAGAGAGCTAATTGATAGAGAATGGGAAGTTAAAGTTCCTCATGTATATAGGGAGAGTAATTTTGCTGCTGACTATCTTGCTTGTATAGGGCATGATTTTCCTTTTGGCACACATCCTGTCGATGTGAGTGACCCGAAACTGTGTTCTTGGCTCTCCTACGATGTTATGGGCATCACCCATGATCGTTTTGTTTCTATGAATTAGGATGCTTGACATCCGTCTTTCAACAAAAAAAAATAAATAAATAAAGAGGGAGGTTTCCATAATGAGGTTTGGAAGGGGAAAAAGAAAAGGTTGAGGTCGGTTAAAAGGGAGAGAGTTGGAAGAAACAAAAATAATGAAGGATTTCAAAAAAAGGTAAAAAGATTCATCTATTTTAAATTATGGATATTGAGAAATTTTAAAATTTGACAAGTTCAAAATCCCTTGTTTTTTTATGTTCGTTCTCAAACGAGTGGATTAGAAAAATCAGACAGAACGAGGATTGTGCCAGAATCTCTCATCCAAACGCCCCCTAAGATGTTTGCAACATGACAACCCACTTCTACACCATTTGATTCCTTCTTTTTCCTCTTTTTTAAATTGACGATAAAGATAAGGTTGAGGATAGTGTTGGAAACAATAAATTGTACCACATTGTATTGTAACCCCCTTCTGTTTATGAATGCACATATTCCCCTTTCTCATTCAGTCGAACCCTAAAGTTATCTTTGCTCCCATGGCCGACAACACCCGCCGCTCCCACATCCTAATCTTCATCCACACCCACTACTCTCACATCTACACCCAGTACCACATCCACCGCCCTCACTCTTCACCATGTCTTGCATCCACCCTTTACGAACCCTCTCCCTTCCATTCCTCATGCTTACAATATCAAACCTAAGAATGAAAATTGGCCAGACGCGCCCCTGAAGGTAAACTTATATAACTAACCCACGTCACCCCTTGTTATCTTCTTGACCATGTATGACCGTCAAGGGTCGGGGAGTGTCACGGCGGGTCAGATCTATGGGTAGACCCACATCAATACACTAATTTTTAAAATTCATTTTGATACCCAAATTTATTTTGTCTTACACTTTGTACCTAGATTTTATTTTATTTTACAAATAGGCCCATATTTTTTGGTGGTAAAATTACATTTTTATCTTGCATTATAGTACCTAAACTTTCAAGCCTCCACTAGCCCTTTCCTAACCGAGAGATACTTTGATTTTTAGGGCCAAGGTTACCTGTTTCACCCTAGTATGTACCCCAGGCTAACATAGTAATTATGGGGCTCCGATCTGGACTCCCTCGTCCGATCTCCTCGGGAGTGGCAGAACCTGTGAGGCAGGGAGTGGCCACCGGGATCTACGCTCTGACGCCCAAGCTAGTACGATATAGGATAGGATGTATGGTATGTAGAGAGATAAAGTAGAGAGAGACCGAGGATCCTCCGGTTTGGAGGCATGAGTCTCCTTTTATAGGAGTCTTGGACTTCCTTTCGTGGGCTTGAGCCCGATAAGATGTGTGGGGGATGGCCTTGGGCCCGTTGATGACGTAGATGGCTTATGTCGAGATATCTCAGTGCTAGTTCATTACCCCAAATTGGCCATTAAATGACATCAGACTCAACAAAACTTCCAACATCAACAAGAGCAACACCATCACCATAGTTTGTCCATGGTATCCCATCTCCCCCAATACTACAATAATGACCATATCATCCGTAGTTGTCTAGTAATCACCTCCTTCTGCACTACCATAGTGGTGAAAATAAGTTACACCACCATGGTAGTCATAACTCGCTCCACTTCCACCACCGACAACCTCAATGTCCACATACACTTGTGCTTTCTCAAGTTTCTTTTCAACTTATGAAATGCAACATAATGTTAACCCCATCATTGCCATACATGATAACGTAATACACCAAACCGCCTTCACTTGTATTCCCACCTTTTACCAAGGTGTGTCACCCGACACACCTTGGTTCGAAATTTTTATGAAGAACCCACAAATTTTTGGTGTAAAAAATATGAATATGGGACCTCCGACACACCTCCAATAATTGTAATCAATACACCTTATTACATTACAAAAAAAAAATCATAAATGTTATTAAATTATGCAAATAGAGGAGTTATCGGGCTTCAAATTAGGTAGTTAATTAGTTGGTTGCACAAGAGTACACAATTAATTGACTACTTAGTACATAATGAGTATTTAGAAAGATAGCTATTACCTTAGGGACAACATCGATAATTTGAATGTGAATTAAATTTGATTAATAAGGTGGTTGAGTAAAATAAGTAGATAGCGAATTTCAGGTTGTCTTTCTCCATAGCTTATTCCATAGATTTTTCTTTAAGTTAATTTTCAACTTGCTTTCTAGTTTAGTTATTTCTTTCCACGTTGAGGCCTGTAGCCACCCTTCAATTATCGGCATCGAGCCAACGACATCATCATGCTCATTCAAATTTCCACATTGACACATGTGGCAACCCTTCGAGATTCTCATACCAAATTTCTCATCTTATTTAGTATTGATTTTTACCTCTTGCAACTGCAAGCTACAAAATGACATTTTCCATATATGAGTTTAATCAAGAACAATCTCTGGTATAAGTTGAGTGATCAGTTTATGAATAATTGTTTCATTTTGTACATAAAAAATATTTGATTTGCAACCTAATGGACAAATGCAATTAAGAAATCTTTAAGAATATGAAAAATCATCGTGGTTCACTGTAAGAAATAATAAAATTGGTGAAATTTATGAACAAAATTTTTCTGTTAATTTTTAATTAATTAATTAATTAATGTTAATTAATTTATTTTTAATTTTATTTTGTTGGTCGACACAGCTATCTCAAAATCCTGAGTCCGCCACTGAATACGAAGAGTAATTTTAACAACTCTCATCTCACCATGCAAGTATGATCCGCACCAATTTGATAGAGTTCTTCCCCCTCTTATTTTGCTCTCAATGCTCACCCTATTGAATTCGACATAAAACACAACGTAACTTAACCTACAATCTACATTGAAAATTTGAATCTATCATGCAACGGACATACAAGCACACATATATTATACAATCTAGGTTAAGCCAAATAATTAGCATAATTGATACAATCCCTAATTAATTAGTAAAGCCCAAAACATAACTATTGTCCAGTCATATATAATTATTAATAAAATTTAATTTGTTCAAATCGACTGGACTTCTAATTTGGTTATTTCCTAAAGGAAAGATTATATAATAGTGTAGGCCATCGATTTGAACCAGATGGCATCTAGTCCAAGGGGTTCCACTGTCTCTCAAACGTACATATATACGTTGAGATATCTTTTCCCAGTCAAAGTTGGGACGGTCTCATTGGTTTAAGCTAGGAAATTCATCCCCATATCCATTGCGATCTGCGAGTCTCCAAAGTTGCCTTCCATGGAGCAAACAAATTAATAATATATTCATATATAGGTGGCTAGTTCGGTGCACCAATAAAAATAAGTACATACAATGCACCCAATTCTAAAAATAACCTAAAGATATCGAATTTTAAATTTTAATTGATAACAATAGTCTGATTTGATGATTTAACATATGATCACAGCTAATCAATCCATTACCCTAATTCCTAAACCTTCAATTTTCAACACAAATCCAAAATCCCAAATTATAAACACTAACCCTAAATCCCAAAACCCTTAATCCTTAATATTGAAGTAAATCTTGAATGAGATTTTTTAAAAAATTCATGTGTTTCTTGTTCATCATATCACAAGTGACGATCGATAACGTTTTGACATGATTCACATACTCGAAATGACAATTATGAGACGAGTACATTGGATGCACCAAAAAAGTAAGTGCGCTGAAGACAAAACCATATAGGAATGATAAAAGGAGCACTTCTACTATGCTATATAGTTTTGGTGCTTTAATGTACAACTTAAAGTTGTACCATAAAATTAAATGTATAAGTTTAGGTTGTACCATAAAGTAATTTGTACCATTATGTTATGGTACAACTTTACAACTTGAAGTTGTACCATCACATAAAGGTACAAGTTCAAATTGTACCATAAAAGAATTTGTACAGAAAATATAGGTACAATCTGAAGTTGTACCATAACGTAAATGTACAATTTTAAGTTGTACCATAAAGGCAAAATCTTATAGTATCAATACTATATAGCATTGTAAAATTTCTCACGATAAAAGATTGATTCTAGCAGCCAAACTAAACGACGATCACAAAAGGGCCCGGCGCCGGAAGCAATTTAGTTAATTACTACATAAACAAGCCGCTGCAAGATTCTAGTAACCAAATTAAAGACAGAAACACCAGCGTCGTCAATATCAAAGTGCAAAGACGTACGCATCCGAGTGACTCCGACTCACATATTATATTTAGTCATCAACTTTTAACAATAATTACATGCATATATACGTACAAAAAATAAGAATATCGCCTGATCGAAGCTGTCCGTGCACAAACGACATAACAAAAACAGACAAAAAACACTTCCATTGTTGATTTGATCAAGACGGTGATACCGAAGTGATCTAGCTAGAACCGTTGGATTCACGTAATGTAATCTAGAAACTTGTCTGTGTATGAACCCATGCAAGGATCGTAGCCGATTTCGCAAGCTATAAAAACCCACTTCTCGTCACCTTTATTTTCCAACACCAACACCAACGACAAATTAAAGAGAGCTATGGCTTCCTTTTCCTTCAAGAAAGCAGTGGTTCTGAGCGTTTCCATCCTTTTCCTTCTCATGTTAACCACACGTGTGGAGGCCGGGTGCGGCAGGAAAAAAACTCGCGTCCATGGCTACAAGAGCGCTGTATCGGATCTTCTGAGCGAGGTGGTCGGCTCGGTTCCCAACAAAGCGAGCCTCTCCGTGACGAGGAAGGTGCGTCCGGTTCGAGTCGACGCCAGCTGCTACGACCCGTCTTCCGATCCTAACGACTGCGGAGCTTGCCTTGGCGGTGTTGTCACCTCGCTCGCCCAATATTGCCTGGCTTCAGGGGATGTAAGGGAAAGCGGCAGCTTCTCTGGGAATGGATGCCGGGTCCAATACAAAAGGCTTAATTAAGTGAGAGAGAAGCTAATTAAGAGAAACCGGCCGGCCGGCCACTTGAATGAATGAATGAATCCGTTCGTTCCTAGCTAGGGTTTGCGTTCCTAGCTAGGGTTTGTGTGTGTTTCCTTTCACTTTCACTTTCAGTTTCAGTCTTCCTTTCACGTGTCCCACAATTGATCTTCTGATTTTGTGGTGGTCGACAGCATTAAGATCGATGCACGTACAAGATCATACCAGAGATGTCGTGAGATCGATGTGTGCAAGTTGTTTCTCAATATATATTATATTTATGTTACTATTTACACCAAAATCCTTTTCACCTTTAAAATGCCACACATGGTGTGTTTTTTGGGCATGTAGACAGCTGCTTTAAATAATCCACCTCGCACACAACAGATTGTAATTGTTATATTGCGTTTGATCCATGAAGCTCTGGTAGAGTGTAGATCAAGCCCCTTACAAAATATTTGCAGAGAACATGAATCTAACACCTCTCTCCATCTCACGAGCATCCAACTACGTACAGAGAGTACACAAATAGTGAACACTCAGTAACTCACCCAGATCTAATCACAAAAACTATCACTCGTAGCTAGAGGTGGCAATTCTCAATCCAATCCACCAATCCATTAAAAATATCCACCTAATCCAGCCCATTCGATCCAAATCCAATTGGATTGGTGGAATCGTGGATCGATTCATGGATCCAAATGGCAAATTACGGTTTGGTATCTATACTTTTTATATTTTACATTTTGGTACCTAAAATTTAATTTTTATACGAAAAATCTCATTGGAAAATTACGTTTTGGTATGTCATGTGGAAATTTAATTTTCACATTTTACATATTGGTCCAAGGTTGAGGATGTCATTTGGATTCATGAATAATCTACCAATCCACTTGATCTAATCCATTTGATCCTTTGATCCACCAGTCCAATCCACCAGTTCATGGATTCAATCCATTTGCCACCTCTACTTGTAGGCTGTAGGAGAGTCCTAATATTTCATAGGATGAAATTCTCTTCTCTTTCACTAAAAAACGTCTACTACTTTTAATTTTTCTTGCTCTTCATATACTTCTCCCTTGATTCCTCTAACGGTCAATTTCTTGTATAAATTTGATTGTCTAAAATTAAGCATACATATAAGGAAAGCATATATGTAAAATATTTTCAATTATTGTCCTTTTATCTTTTCCCCCCTTAGTGCATCACTTAAAAGAAAAGATCATTCTCTGCAATCTTCCCGTTCTTTCCTTTCTGAGTCTCCGATGACATATATTACTTTCAATTTATGTTATGAATGCTTCAAGTGTGTTTTAGCAACTCTAAAATTGCTTTTGCGGGTTTGTTGCACTTTTGGTAGCATTTTGTGCATATTTAGGTCAAATCAGGATAGTGGTACCACATGGTAGCCAAAGGGTATCATCATGAGTTGAAAGTGGACAAGAATACGAGCATCCAGGATCTAGGATCAAACGGGGCCTGATTTGAAGTACGAAAGAGGGAGATAAAGCTCAGACATGTTAGTAGTCTGAAGCAGATAAAACAGAGAAACGGCAGCATCGACTGCCGATTCTCCTTTAGGACCATCGAAATAGGTGTTGTTTTGGAGCATTTCTAAACTTCTCCAGGAAGTTGTCCAGATGCGTCCTGGCTTGGTGGCTACGTCAAATCTGTCGCCCAAAACCAAATTTCTCTATTTTGGCTACCATTTTTAGAGGTTCCAACGGATTTTCGTATTTAATCAATGAATCCCCAAAAAACTGGCGCTATGTCCAGCTAGTTCCTTTAATTTCATAGTTTTGCGAACCAAAGAGGTTCTTTGACGATGTAACATTTTATTTTGGCTTATATATGATGATTTTATATCCTTTATCATTTTGTTTGATTTCTATGCTTGGTTTATTGTCAATTCAAATGTGTGCATAAGACGATGACTATCTTTAAATGATATATCCTCATATCCGACTTTATGAATGGATGAGATTGGAAATGAAAGTCCTTCAAAATCGATTGAACTGCGCAGACTTCCTCAAGGGAGAAAGCTAGTGAGAGTCACCATCGTTGCCTACTAGATATGGTAAATGGCATGAGATATGGTAGGAATAAACCTAGTGAGAGTGTCAAGCAACTCATATGTTTCCAGAATCAATCGTTGATTCTTGATTGCGAATGGTTGTTGTTTATTTGAATGTGCATTGCTACGCTTATGATGTCAAAATGCCTATACATGGGTGGACGTGACAGGTATGAAGCTTATGCATACCAGCACTTTGAATACCATACATGTCTGCAAGAGGCCTTATTGCATACTGTGACATACAATCTGAATGTCGACTCTCCCAAGTGCCTCACTTAAACTTGGAAACTACGATAACTACTGCGAGGGGGAAGCAGCCAAATATGAGCATAGTAAGAGGAGAAATCAATTGTGGATTCCCATAGACATGAGTACGTGTATTCAGATTCGTAACGAAGTCAAAGGAACTCTAGGGAGATTTTTCCTATGCAACACCTTCCAATTCTGCTTCCACACTCACCCAATAGATTAGCATTCACTTTCCCGCACCTCTTTTCTTTCTTTCCTTTATGTTTTACAAAACTAGAGGCACCTCAACCTCTTACATACGTTTTAAACTGTAGACTTCGTACCTCATCACCTAAGTAGGTGGTTGTGAGAGACCTTAGGAAATACGATCCTGGCCTTCGGGCCAGGTAAATTTGGCACGTGCTACAAATGACATTAAACTTTCGCGTTGTTGCCAGGGATTCTCGCAATCGTTGGAAAGGGAACGAGGTAAGAGTCCCATCCTTTCCTTTTTCTTTTTGTCGTCGTGTCTTAATTTTCTATTATGTTTGTCTGAGTGTATTTTTTCGTATTTCAATTTTCAATTTTTCAGTTTTCGTATTTCTTTTCTGTGCTATATGTGTGAGCTATGAAAAAAAAAAAATTGGCGGCTTAAGTGCCAATTTTCTGCCAAAATTGGTGGCCATAACTGCCAAAATCCTTCTATCTATGGCAGTCTAGGGCGCCATTTTTGGGCGAAATTCGGCGGCCATGGCGCCAATTTTGACAGGAGTCTTTTCTTCCCAGTTCATATATCCCAACCTGATTCTGGGTAGTAGCATTTTGATTCACTTGGATTGAATTCACTCTTCACCTGCGCAACCATGAGCATGGGTGTCTATCCCAGGTATGAGCATGGAAGACCTCTTAATCCAACATGTGGCCCGGTCTCTCGAATCTAAGTTGATTTACAACAAGTTCTTATTCTCAAAATTGAAGAGGGTGAGCTTTTTGAGGGAAATATCTTTGAAAATTCTATGGATCCCCTCAGAAAGTTTCAGAGGATATATGATTCTGAACCCTGACTTCAAAGTGAGTCACATTTGACACAAATAGGTCTCTTCAACTACTATGTATAAGGGGACACGAAAAACTGAATGGACGAACAACCTCGTAGCTTGTTTCGCTCATGGGACACGTTCGCTCAATCTTTTATGAATAACTTTCCTCCCCTGTGGGAGAATCACACGTCGAGGAATCATCTTGTTCACTTCGAACAAGGTAACTCTAAGACTCTGCATAAGGCGAGACACCAATCTCAAGTGTGTGATGTCAAATGCACTCAACATGGGTTTTCATCTAACTTTCCCTCACTTCGGAATCTAGGACGCCATAAAGCTTTCTCGAAAGAGAGACTTGCTCAATTGGAAGTAAACTTGCTAAATCCATCTAAACGCAATGCCTCTCTGCCCACCCCCAATGAATCTTCTAGCCCCATGGAAAAGTTTGGGGGATTAGCTTATGGCACAGTTAGTGGTGAATGCTCCACCACCTTCAATCTTAGTGCTGAATGATCCCCTTTGGTAAGCGATTCCAAATAATAGATCAATGCCATTGGGAAAACCAACTTGAACCACACCAAATTTTCATAAGGACAAGGTCAAAACCTCATTCTACTGAGCCTCGGTCGCTTGAACTTAGGAGGTATCAGGAGGTATGAAGCTAGAATGGAAGTTACCCACCCAGCAGAAAACGGTGGCCTAGCCACCTATTATGGGCCAAGAAACATGGCCCAGGAGTCAATTTGTGGGCCTTCAGAACAAACCCTAGAACTCGAGCCTTCCCCCTTTATGGAGCCTTATGGACTGCACAAGTGAAACCCAAAGCTTTATGGAGCCTTATGGCTCTGCTAAGGGAAACAAAATACGCACTTTGCCTATGCTTATATATCTCATCCTATTAGCTATGAGCTTCCAAACCTTGTCTTGGAGTAAGAAGCAACCTAATAAGATCTCTATCATGGAAAATTCCATCTACGACATAAGAATAGAAAAGATAAGCATAGGCACAAATATCTTCATTCGCATTCACAGAAAGACACACTACAAAATAAAGCACATATGGCAGAGGATTTTTTGGCTTTCATCAACGGGAGACACGTTGCTAAGGACCTTGACAGAGGTTACGGTAACTATTGCAGAATCGCCGCAGATATTTGCCAACGATACGTACAACCCCTGGTGGAAGTCTTTGCAACGGTTCCAGCGGCGGCCGGCGGTAAAAACGGCTGTCGTTGACATTTTTTCTGGTTTTCTGAATGTCGTATAAGAGCAACCAACGGTCGCTATAACTTATGAGTAGGATTTTGTGACGATTTAGAAACCCTGGTACTATAAGCGACGATTTTGGTCAGAGCATCCCTAATACATTCAGAGTCACAAATTCATGCTGCTGGATTTCAATTGTCAGATTAACTTTGAAAAGTGACATTAACCATTATCAATACAACAAAACCAATTAAATAGTATTCAAAATTACAAATGATAGTACTTGTTTGAAACTCAACAACCAACAATTTTGCAAGCAAATGTATAATGTCAAAGATAAAGTTCCAGCAAGATCCATAATATAGAACCCTTTCTTTCTTCTGAAACACCCATACCATGTACTGTGGCATCTTAACTTGTTACACAGGCAAGCAAAACAAATTAAATTCCCATAATTGCTACTAGCCGAAGAAACAATCAAGGCAAAACAAAGTCTCGATCTCAAAACTGAAGATAATTGCTTCAACATAAGACAATGCTGCACATAAATAATTTCACTCTGTTTGATAGAAATAATCAAGCCTCAGGCTCCTTCATTAATGATCAAAGAAACAATAATTTGTTTTCGATGGTGCAATTTAGTGCTCAATACCTATCTTTGTAATGATAGATGTGGTAATAACATAGTTCAATACATGTCTGTTAATTGAAGTTATAAAAGTGTATCAACACAAAATGGACATTTCTGTAACTTGGGGACTAACTTGAGAAGCAAATTTGGAGAATTGAAAGTGAAAAATAGATCTCCTAACTTAGCATGTGATTCTTCTATGTTTGCATATATTACATTTCTTAATAGAAATTGAAATGAAGCATGCAACAGAGAATACAATAATCTTTATACAAAAATAAAAGCCTCAATTAGTACCTTGACATCATAGTTATGGGAATGGTCTCAAAAGCCAACAAATTGGGACCCGCCTCTAATGGAGACTGTTTGAGTACCATAATCAACACATCTGCATTTTTTTTAGCAAAAGATAATTATATTAAAAGATAAGAAGTTATCGATCTACACCCTGGAACCAACCCAGGCACGAAAATCATACAATCAACACATAGTCGGAGACAAAGATAGGGCCTTCCTAGCCACTGAGTGGGCTACCCCATTGCTATTCCGACCGACGAATCGAATACTAAAACCACTACACTACGCCATCAAATGGATGATCTCCTGGATAATAACCCCGACACGACTATCATTCGCATCTTTAGCATTAACCTTATCAATAAGCACCTTCGCGTCCCCTTCAAAACGAACTTGATGGATGTCGAGGCCTTGACACCAATTAATCGCCTCCCGGAGGGTTATAGTCTCCACCAAAAGAGGGTCTATCATATTTTCAAAAACCACACCTCTTGCCAAGAGAATAGCGCCGCCTCCATTCCTTATGATTATACCCCCTGCTGAGTGTGAGCCGGTACGAACCGCCCCATCCCGCATACAGAAGACTGAGGTTGAATCCACCAAGCCCATATTATGCTGAACAAGAGGGTGATCCTGGATTACCCTATCCACTGGCAATGACACCAACTCATGGAGCTGCTGATAGTATTGACGCATCAGTTGAAGAACTAAGTACTGCTTACCCTCAAAGGCGGCCCAGTTCCTAGACTTCCAAATACGCCACAGGAGTACCACCAAAGCCATAATTTGATCAGGTTGGATCAACATATCTGCATAACAAAGCTCAAAATGAAAAAAAGACTATAAGATTAATCAATTCACTCAGGAGTTGGTAATCACTGAAGAATACCGGGGGGAAACGTACGTAGCAGTTCAAGATCTTCTAAGATGCATTAATTCATTCAGGAGTTAATATTCACTAAAGAATAGATAATAACAAACTTACATATCAGTTCCAAGTCTTGTAGCAAGGTTGGCTCTCTTCAGGAAGAGGAAGGAAATAGGAGAGGAGTGAACTTACCACTTCACTCCTTTAGGATAGTACAGAAAGCAAGATTGCAGATTCTTCAGAGGAACTCTTGTAGTAGCCCAACATAGAAAGTTGTAAATCTCAAGTTCCATAAAGAGCAACTAAACATCCATCCTAAAAATCCAAATTCACATCTCATAAACCATATTTTACCTAAAAAATGATACTTGAATTCTCAAACTCGGGATCTGTAAACCCATTATATTTCAAAGTGGCAACGTTATCTTCTTCTAGATAAGTTGAATTCCGCCTAGTAATTCATTTATGGAATATGAATGAATTAGTCTTGTACTTAGTATGTTATACGATTGCATTATGAATTCAGGATCTCGTCTACTACAAGACTCCGCTGTCTATCGGTTCGGATTGTAGCTGCTGCGATAACATGTGGGTGAGAATCTCAAAGAACACCACGGGTTGGGTTGATTTTTATGACATGGCGGGTTTTAATGACATGGTGGGTTTGGTTTTCACATTTCCAAGTTAAATTAGCATGACTAACCGTTTATGTTAGACAGGTCAGCAAAAAACTAGCGTCAATGACGATGACTAACAGAAGGTAATGGCCAGTGACCAAATTTGAACTATTAAACTAATATTAGTGACCATAATGAAATAAAATAACAAATAAGTGACAAATGTGAAACAATTTATTCATCCCAACGAATGAACTTGCAATTTACCCAAAAATTCAAGGACCGTACTAGTTTGAGACTTAATAATTACATTCACCTTAATGACTAAACTAATCCTATTGGTATATGAAGCATAATCTAATCTAATCTAAAACATAAACGCTCATTCAATTTTAGTTCTGCCACTCCCTAAAAAAAAAAAAAGTTCTGCCACGTAACCATTTTACTCTCTGCTCATGTTTTCAGGCGGGATATAAAAGTAACTCCGCCTCTGCAATTATGATTTCCATCGCATAATTAACAAAACAAATACTGTGCCACAAATTTATAAATCCGGGTAATGTTTTTTTCCCATAGAAATCTGGGTAATCTTATCAAGCGTGGGCCTTTTATAATCAACGGTATAATTTATAGCTGAAAAGTAAAACTGCACCCCCATTTAAAATTTCATGCCCATAGAGTGATTTTAGGAAGCTGATGTGGCAGAGTGTTAAGCGGGGAAAAAAAAGAGTCCCCGCCTGATTTCAGAACCAAAAAACTGTCCACTACCCACCTTTTCTCCTGCCAGGCCACGTTGTCGTTTAATTTGTATTTATTTTTTATTTCCCAGGAAGGAAATGGTCCACTGAAGAAGCATGCAAAACAACAAAAACCAGAGGCAAAGCTCCTTCCTTTTCCCCTTCCATCAGTTCCTTTGTTTTTTTCTACTGTTATTAAGAGAGAGAGAGAGAGAGAGAGAGAGAGAGAGAGAGAGAGAGAGAGAGAGACAGACAGAAAGGGAATCGCAATTCCAATCACATTACAGAGAGAGAGGGGGAAAGGTGAAAGGGAGAAGGAAGTTGATTGTGAGGTGCGAGCTCCGGCCTGTGAACTACTCCGCCGCCGTGGATTTGCGCCGCCCCGGCGGTGAGGTTGTGGAAGGGAACTGGATTGCTTCTTCGAGGAGGGCGGCGAATCAGACGGCGGATGAGGAAAATTCCGATTCCGTCCCCGATTGGGGGAAAGTGGTCTACGAGGCGATTCTGGATTGGAACACGGTGGTGGTGTTGGCGAAAGGGTTGAATCTGAAGCCACGAAGGGAAGTTGATCCGGCCGAATTCAGGTGCCATTTCTCGCTGAGCAACAATTTGACCAGAGAGGAGAGCTTCGTCTTCACCACCGAAGCCACCGCCGCGGCTCAGGAAGTGGTCCGCTGCTTGCATCCGGAAAAACAACACCGCGCTTGCCGAAGGAATCCGCGTCACCGTCAGCCGCGTCGAAGACTCCGCCGCCTCCCCTTCCTCGGCCTCCCCTGCAGCTCTGCCATCGGTGGCGAAAGTGTACAACCCGAAATCCCACGGAATGAGAGGGAAAGGGGAAGAGAAGTACGAGCTCTGCGCTTGCACGATGTTGTGGAATCAAGCGTCGGTTTTGAAGGAATGGGTGATGTACCACTCGTGGCTGGGAGTGGAGCGATGGTTCATCTACGACAACAACAGCGATGACGGGCTACAAGACGTCGCCGACGAGCTCAACACGCGGAATCACAATGTCTCCAGGCACGTATGGCGTGGATCAAAGCGCAGGAGGCAGGGTTCTCGCATTGTGCTCTGAGAGCAAAGTACGAGTGCAAGTGGGTCGGCTTCTTCAACGTCGACGAGTTCTTCTACTTCCCTCACTACAGTGGCCAAACCCCCTTGCCAGGGCAGAACTCGCTCCGCGCCATGGTCTCGAACTACACCGATTTGCCCACGATCGTGGAGGTGAGGACAATGTGCCACAGCTTCGGCCCATCGGGGCTGACTGAACCGCCGAAGCAAGGTGTGACGGTAGGTTACACTTGCAGGCTGCAGGCTACTGAAAGGCACAAGTCCTTCGTCTGACCGGACCTTCTCGACATGACGCTGTTGAACATTGTGCATCACTTCAAGCTGAGGGAAGGGTACAAGTCGACGAACGTGGCGGAGGGGACGGCGGTGATCAACCACTACAAGTACCAGGTGTGGGACACTTTCAAGGCCAAGTTTTTCAGGAGGGTTTCGACCTATGTGACCAACTGGCAGGACGATCACATGTATTTGTGTTGACACATGTATTTGTGTTGTTTCATTTGTTGCATCGTATATATTTTAATTCCAGGTTATGTGAGGATCATGCTAGCCTAGACAGGGATGGTTCCGCCCATATATGATTATGGTACACCCGTCTTAATGGTCTATTTTGATGGCGGATAGGCAATGATGAGGGAGGTTTGCGGGTTTTGACCTTTTTTTATAAGCTATTGTTTTGGTTGGTTATACCTCAATGTTTTGTTTAATTATTTCTTGATTCCTTTGTTCTCTCTTTGGAGTTACTCACCTTAATTTAGTGGAATCTCTTGGCAATTTTCTCATAATTGACTTGCTGCTCTCAAATGCACAAATTTGCAGGATGGCTTATGGCAATGCACCAGATGCTGCTCAGCTCAGGTTTCGGTTATATCTTCCACCCTGCTATCAAAGTTGACCCTTGGCTTCCGAGATATTGAAGTCTCCTCTTTATGGTTTGGCTTTATTTCTTTCTATTTTCTGGCATGGTCCTCCAATTCTTGATTGTGGGTTTTAGTTCTCAAAATCAGGACTTGCTTTTCTTGCCATGATATGGCTTCAATGCATGAACCGCTTCTTTTGGTTGAGTTTTTGTTAGTGGTTTAAACAATTAGCATATTTTCTAATGTAGGGTAATTTGGTGGGGGAGACTAATCAATTCTACATTTTCAGATACATTAGCCTACTTTCAATATGCAGTGTTTGTATGTATGATTCGAGAGTAGGGGTCTATGATCCATATGTCGTCTTTCAGGCCTGCACTTTCGGCTGATATATGTTTATCACTCCAACGAATGAAGCCTTACAAATTTGTGGGGGTTGATGCTTACCCCGGGTGAGTTAGTCGGTGCATTTATGTCCTCTCCTCCCTACTGCTTTATTAGCCGTTTGTCTCACTTTTAGTCGTTCTGCTCTAGAAGGTGACCATGATATCATGTGTGATCTGATCAATTTCAATGTTTTTCATTCACGTGTTTCCTTATTACTAGCTCTATTCCCACACTTCGAAGCGATTAGCTTGAGCCTTCCAGTATATGATCCTATAAACTCATTTACAATTGAATTGTCAGTATAAGCTATTTTACTTGCATTATATAACGCTTTGGAGTTTGGGACATTTTATTCTTAAAGCTTTTAGTCATTTTTGCTATATGGTTTCGATTTTTTTATTTGGTTTAGATATTTATCCACTTCGATCTGGCTTTCAAGTTGTACGAAATTAAGTTGGCTGAATCTATCACTTAAAAAAAAACTTTACTGAATCTATCTATTTTAGGAGTCAAAAGTTCTATCATCTACTTAAAAAAGAACTCTTAAGGCGTGTGTCTATTTCTTTGTAATAACTTGGTTTGTTTTTCCTAATTATTTTCTCTGTCATTGTTGACATGGCCTGCAATTTCTCATTAACAAAAAGGACTATGCATGGTTTCCTAATCCAAACATGCTTTGTAGTGTCTTCCCAGTTCCCACCGCTTCGACATTGGTGAAACACAAAGCTCCTTTGCTATATCACCAACAAAGATGTTTCATTATTATCAAAACTACGATGGTACGTGCCTAGACTAATTGTTCTTTATCAATGCCCAGTTAGTAACTTTGTTCTAATATGCCTCTTAATTTTCAACAACGACAAGTTTACAGTTTGTTCTCATTCTGTTCAACTTATCTTCCACTATGCTTTCAGTATGCCTCCTTTCATTGATGTTTTATATGTTCATATGACAAGAATCGTTACCTCATTTTCATCATTGATACAAGATCTATTGAGTGATCTCTTGCTATTATTTCATAGTAGAACCTTTAAATATACCAAACCAATTTCAGTTACAGACAATCATGTCACCAATTTACCTGAGAAATTTTAATGGAAATCATTGTGGTTTTTCAGCCAAACACTTGCTGATTTTGGTTATTCCCCCGTTGTTACTATATTTGCACTTTAGACACCCAGTTGTAATCTTCGACGATTCCAACTTCGTGTGGATGCTAATTCCTCAATCATGACTTAGTAATGATGTAGTCTTTAACTGATAATTTACCCCTCTTTTGGGTACATATGCACCTATTTTTCTTCACAAATTTATTTTTAATTTCACAGCCAAGATAGTCAACTGGGGTCTGGGTGCATTTCCTAATTACAAATGCTTCCCATCACACCCAATGTTCCGCCACCGCCACCATCACTTCCAAGTTCCAACCATGGGCAAGATACAAAACTCAACATCTTCATTTCACCGGCCATGGCCAGATCAGAAACCAAATATGTTAAGAGTTAGATAGATAAATGATGGATGATGTGAGCGCTTGACCGAGAGCGGTGAATTGGTTGGGAAGTTGCCAAGTTTTTCGGCAATAAGGTGGTCAGCCACCCTGCCGATGAATCAGACCCCATAACGTAACATTTAATATAAATAGCCTTGATTCTGCTGATGTTTCTATTTTTAGAATGTGAATTGAAATGCTGCAGCAAAAGAAGGAGAAGGAAAGATCAATATTTTGGCGGGCTAGGGCTGGAACTGAAAGTTGCGATGAGTTTTGATGTGCAGATATATTTTCTATTACTGAAACTGCTAGCCTTAGATATTTGTGAAAGCTCTCTTTGATAACTCAGAGTTGTCTGCTTTATTCGTCTAATTTGGGCTCAAACAATTGTGCTAACCTATAGTTTTTATTGTCGGGCCTCATTCTCTTTTCACTGATAAATTGCCTAATAACAAAATTAAATTGACCTACAGTGACTTTTGTTTTCCAGGTTCTTTCACCGTGTGTGGTAGCGAATATGAAATATAACCGGTAGCATTTTGTTCTTTTTTATATTCACTTTAGAAATTTTACATGTTTTTTTTTGGAATTCAAGAGGTATGGATCCGTACATCGATAATAACAAATCTTATAAAGAAAAACAATTTATGCAATTTATATTGAATGTAAAAAAGTATAAAATTTTCTTCTAAAATATAAAAAAATATAGATACCAGTAACCTAGGATGGCCACATCACCAGAACTAATTACTTACTAATATAAAATTCAAAAGTAACACAAATATTATTTTCCCTTTATGAATAAACTATTTAAAAGACTGTAAATTTTTGAAAATATGCAAATTGGTTAATACAAAACAACAAAATATAATACAAAATTCATCCGACCAACAGGTCGGGTAAAAGCTAGTCCTTATCAATATCCAAAAGCAAATCTAACTCCATTCTTCATATCATCATTCTGAGTAGAGCTTAATTTAGTCTCTTGATTTGTAACTTTGTTCACGTAGGGTTTCCATAATCGCTTAATTGTTTACGTAATGAGATGTTAATATTCCTCAAGTGAAAATATTGTTCATTAGTTAAGGCTTATGTAACGTAATTTCACAATGATTACGTAAGGTACTCATAGATGGAGTAAAGATTACAAGACGAAAGTCTGCAGAGTACTTTGTGTAATGACTTTTCACTTTACATAATATTATTTAAGATAGTGTATGTTATGTATATTATGTGTAGTGGCGGAGCCACTTGAGGCCAAGGTGAGTAATTTGCACCACCTTGGTCGAAAAAATGTTGAGTAACTTTGTTTATGTGGTTGTGGATTTAGTACAAGATTTCCATATTATAATCTCTATTTAACTTTTAATTCATATATTATGTAAGTGAGTTAAATATAAACAAAAATTCAAAACTTAAGGGTGTTTATTGCTATCGGTTGCCATTGCAAGTGTTAAAGATTACTAACTAAAAACTGCAATAAGCAAAGTAAAGAAACACTTTATAAATATGATAAATAGTGGAATTGTGAACGATTTTTCGTTGTAGTATCTTAATATCCCTTATAATTTTGCATGATAAATGAATTTTCAGAACATGAACACATCCTCAAACTTACATTACACTTTTTCCTCCACATTTGGCCTACATTAGATGAATTTCGGCTACATCATTAATTATGTGATTGACTATTTTATTGTAAGTACTGAAATATACATTGATCTTTGTTCTAAATATTGTAGGAGTTCCCCATATTATTTGTTGAGCAATTGGGCAAGAAAAATAATTACTATGTCCGAAAAATTACTATTTTGTGTAAAAAAGACTTTTACGGTAGCATTTGGCTAATAATTTGAAAATGTTAAAAGGTTTAACTAATAAATTATATTTACCAAAAAAAAACTTTTTATAGGATCAACCGAAAGACCACTAACCGGCCCGTTGGCCGGTCACATTACTAGTTCTAATTTATGAGAAAACCCAAAATACAACAATCTTGAAGACGACAAACTAAGGTAAACATGTAAGAATACCTAGAGTTACCAATGACAAAATTCAGAATATTTGACTCTGAATTCTGAAGTTTTGCTAACACTATTTTAACATCTGAACATAAATAGAAAAGATACCTATTCTTCTGTTTGTAATTTCAGCTGTAATAAGAATAAGGGGAAAATCGAGATCGAGAGAGAGAGAGAGAGTGAGTGAGTAAATATGAAAAGAATAAACAAAGAGCATTCTGGAATATGTGACCAGTACGGCAGTACCAAATCTTCTTCCACCATTGTTCAACTTATGCAAAGCAATCCACGGCTTAAATGTGTAGTTGGTGCTGCATATAGACCAAAAAAAGGTGCATACCACTGCATAAGCGTTCAGGAATGATACATACACACCTTTTTAAAATTTTGAGAGGGTGAGTCATGGTTTAGACAAACAAGATCAACTAAAATGCTGGGAACCAAGTGCAACGAGAGAATAAATACCTACAGGGAGCGTTCAGAAGGGAGCCTCAAGTGATTCATCCCATACAT